ACAATGGATAAGCTGGACAGATTTTCAACGATGACGCAGGTTTAACTAGGTCGTTCTCATCTAGCCACAACTCATGCACAGACTAGAAGCGCACGGAGTGCGGCGACCCCGTCGAGCCCCACCCCCACGGGCGTAATCTCTAAAGTCGTCAAGGTAGATTATGCGGCGAAACCGCTGCATATCTCTCACTACGTCAGGTGAAAGCAATTCTCATCAATTACTTCTCTATTAAAATGCGCCGCCATTGAAGGAGCGCGTCGAAGCGGCCCGTTCGGCATCGGTCCCGACAAGCTCCCAATCCCTCCCCCTATACTGCCATCAGAACCGGCTGTTAGCATGCTTTGCTAGTACCTGACGCATCGTTTGGCGTCAAAGATTCATTCCTCAGTCTATATGAGGCTATTTTGCCAAATCATGCCGAACTGTTATTCTGTTAAGAAGACTTATGAATATTGTACCAAAGAACTGTCTTTTATGTCAAAAATCAAACGCTGACTTGTACAATCGAATTGTTTTATCTCGCCGCGTACACCTATTGCGACCTTACTTTGCACTCCTATTACCTCAACATCATTGTTTAATCCACCTTGCTTCCTGTGCTTAGAGTACCCCAATTCTCCGGCATGACCTCTGAGATCTCGCTTCCCTCATATATTCGCGATGTGTCATCTTCGTCAAGTTCTTCACAAGCTTAGCCAACTGCACACCGCTGCTCAGTCGAGATAAGCTCAGTTTATAGGAGTTGGTGTGATTGCGGCCCATTTGATGACGAGCTTCTTAGACCGAAATCTCTCATCTTTGCTGCTTCGTCGATGTGCTCCTGCGCTGCAAAAAACTTCTGCCGAGTGCTTCGTTCGAGCAGCATACGCATTTATTGCTTTGAGCCCACTTTCATTAAGCACAATAACAATAGTTCGGGTGTACTCCCGATAGCAGCACACCTCAGTTGGCCCTAATAATTACCTCATCAGAGCAATTATTTGAAGCGAGATGTTCAAGCTGGTGAAGATTGACAACCTAACAGAAGAGCAGGGTTTACTCAATGAGCCATAAGTTTGAACCGACCATCACTCACAACTCCATCAATCATGCAGACTCTTTGAAAAATTGTAATTTTCTGAGAGTACTCAGTTCAGAAAAAGTAGAGGTGCCAGTGCCTTTTCCACAAATTGCAAGCACGAAGTTTGAAGGAAATAATATTCGAAACTACCCAATTGAGGAACTATAGCATTCACTCAGTCACGCGAAAGACCATTGACATCTTTAACTATGCTAGAAATGTCTTTTCAACGTTTCTGAAATGCCGAGAAGAGAAAAAGTTATGAAAATAGCGATGAACTTCGATTCTTGCAAAAAATGGCTTTTTCTCCATTGAATTTTCTCCAGAACCATAAATTCTTCTATTCCACCACTTACAACTAGAATGGCTGCTTTTTCTTTCAATTAATTGCAGGCTACAACATTTGCCGATCAAACGCTTCCTCTCGCGTAAAGCATAGCATTTTGAGCTTATAAAACTGTCGTAAACTGCAGGAATTAGAACGAAAACATTTGGTAGCCAATTTGTCAGCCTTCCATTGTGGTTTTTTTTCCTAGTTATGATATATTCATAGACATTTGCAGGTGAAGAAAGCGTGAACCCGCATAAATCACTCCCTGTTCATCACTAATCATTTCATTGCAGCCTGTCGTTTCCAGCTCCTATTTGTGAACCGTTGTTCGCTTCACCTTCCTAGATCTAATAAAAGCTCTTCGTTTTTGTACTCAGTCTGGAGCAGCTATGTAGAGCTATGAACGCCATCTAATCGGAACCTAGCATCGTAGGCCGAGTAGTGAATGCTTGTCTTCAGCGCGTCAATATGATGAAAACTAATCAAAAATGAGAAAAAAAGCGCCGGAGGCTAGAAGAGAGTAGTCTTTTGCAATTTTTTCGTTCTTTTCGCAATATGAGAAACTTGATGTTCCAAATGTATATGTGGATATTCGAATAGATATTCGTAATTTAGCAAAGAATTTTTATCGCACTTCGTCTTGCTGCTTCTTATGAAGTGTGCAAGATGTCCGATTACTATTTTTTACTCACAGAAGATTGCATATGAATTCTAATAAAAAGCTTTGCACGTTATATCATTCCAAATCATTTTCTTTAAACGAAATGTGATGCTATATCTTTCTCGGAAGATTATTTGTAATAAATTGGCAGTGAGCTTTTATTTATTGAAGTTTACGTGCTGGGAATACCTTGCATTTCGAAAGCTTTAACATCGCAAAAATTTGCTTACTTCTACCCCTTCATGCATGATTCTGTCTTTGGATACACATGATGCTGGATGTATGTGCCTAGTACGTTCTTCCGTTCCTCCCATCTCCCTCTCCCCCCCCCGCCTTCTTGCTCACCTTTTCCACTCTTTCTCTCATTATTTTTTTGAGCTGCAGTTATGAAGAAAGATAGTGGAGGATTTCCGAATAAACATCGAAGAAAAGTTTTAAATAGGAAATATATAAGGTTTGATCTCTACGCAAATTCAAGGCTTTTTTATTGTATAATCTTTGTGCACCGTTCTGTGCACTACCGAGGAACAACTTTCAAATGCAAGAGAGCCGCTTGTTTCGAATTTGCAAAATTCACAGAGGCCATTAATAAAGCTGATTTTTGTTTACAGTTTTACTATTTGATTTTTGCTAATTGATATGACTTTAATTTAAATTGCAATTAGTTTTGTACATTAGAGGAAATATATATAAGAGGAAAATTACACAAAAATAGAATTTGTCGGCGATTTTAAATGCTTCACTAATCTCCTATAAACATTTTAAGTATCGACCAAAATAAGAATAATAGGTTATCTGTACTCGCTGTGTACCTGCAGAGACAATGAATGTGACCTGCTCTATTGAGGAGAACTTTTTTGTCTAAAGGGACTGGTTGTGAAATATGTTAAAAGACATTGCTATTTTTTGCAATGAGCCACTGCACTTATTCTGATGAACTTTCTTCCCAATGAAAATTATATCATAGAAGTTTTTCTTGAGAGCTGGTTTATGCCTTTTTTATATTACATCAAAATACCCATCTCTTATTTTGTGTTTTCTTTTGTCTCTCTAAAAGATTCAAGGTCTCTCAAAAAATAGTTTTCAAAACACTTATTTTTCCCCTTTGCAAAACACAGTTATACACAAATTTTCTCAACTAAAAGCATCAGGATATTCTAACTGAACTCTTTACTCATTTTTGTTTTTGTAAAAGCTATTGATCTCCATATGCCAGTGTACAAGACGGCCGGAAGTACGTAATCGAATATAGCAAATGGTTTCATGTTAAGATTCTACATCAGGCGTCGCAGGTGCATTTTCAGAGGAAATAATATTGGCGGGGATTTCTCATGAGTTGAGCAAAATGCATCTGACTGCATGATGCAGAAGTTACTCATCATCTCTTCATCAAAAAGTCTCAGTCTCTTCTACAACATAAACGATGATTTTCTGTAATTTTAGTTGTTAGAATTATGATTTGCCATCTCAAGAAAATTTCAAATCAATTTTGCTGACACAAAATACACTTGGGACTTCTAACTAGCATGGTAGTGTTCCTCCTGCATTTCATGAGATAATTATTCTCTTACCGAAAACAAAGTATGAATGAGTATTCCCTTCTCGTTCTTCCATGCTCGAGGTTTCCAAAATATCCGGCTATTTAATAATCAATTCTGACTAACGCAAGATTGGTATCTGTTAGGGCGGTCCGAAGGTTCTTGCCATTTTCCAGGCCTATGCTCAGATCACTCAGAATAACGACAAACAAAAGAAACAGTACTCGATGCAAAATTTCTTGCTCTGTTAAGCAATTACATTTTTGTCCTGAAACTCGAATCTCTATGGTCACTTGCCCCAAAATTGGCTAATTTTTGAAACTTTCATGTCAATCTTTCGGAAAAGCTCCGATATCAGTCAGATAGAGTGAACAAAATGCGATACAGTGGATATGTTGCGCATTTTGAAATGGCTTTCTGGCATTTTCAACAATGATTGTCCGAAAGTCTTTACGTATAAAAAGCTGCAAAATACAAGAACATTTAAACAACAGTAAATTTTCGGAATTTAGAACCTTCAAACTTCGGTTATAACCTGACGCTAATTTTACAAGGCAAAGTATTTACCGCTTCGGAATATTAAAATTCTCTGTGTACAGCCTGGGATGTTCAAAAAAGAAACGTGAAGGCTTTGGAGAATTTTTTTCGATATTTCACAGACCGGAAAGAAAAAAAACATTTATCGAAAAAAAGACAAAAAGATGCATACATCTACTTAAATGCTCGCCGTTTATTATTTTATGAGATTTGGGATGCCCTAATAGATATTTGTCGGAATAATTTTGACAATTTTGAAAAGCCTGCTTTGGAAGCCGAAAAATTGCTTTGTATTGCAATTGCTTACGCTACCCACTTTTATCAAAGCTTTTTCAAAAGTCCGCAAAGGAAAATTTATAAGAATAGCTGGAGCTTGGGTAGCTAAAAACCATTAGTTGAAAAGTCCTATTATTATTTCAGCGATCATCATAGGACTAGGGGCAAGAATATTACTGCTAAAAAAAGGAAAAATTCTGCATCGAATACCGTTTGGAGCTTTTGATTACTTTTATCGTGAGTGATTTGAGCATAGGTCTGAAAAATTGCACAAACTTTCGGATTTTACACATACCATGTCTAATTTTTTGCAAAATTTTGATCATATATATATATATTTGTATCGTGAATTTATATATATATGTATCGTGAATTTCTGAGAAAAAGGACAGAGGCTTCAAGAGCTGAGGGTATCCCACGCACATCTGGCAAGCGCATAGAGAAACATGCGTAGCGGAAATCATTGTTCTCCCAATTTCCTCGCTATTTTTAAAAACTTTTTTTGCCTCGTACACCCTACTTTTGCTCCAAATTGCTTTTTCTTCAACACTTTTCCCAATTTCAGGCAAATGTTAGGCATGCTTCGATGATACGCCAATGTACAGACAGATTATTTTCCTCTGCACGGCTAGCATAGCTTTCTCGTCCTTTACAACGAAAAGCCCTTTGGAGGTTTGTAAATTTGATTTCTACTGCTTTCATCATATTCTCAGCGATATTTCTAGAGCTACTATTGGAAATTGTTTTTGCATAATAACAAAATTCTTGAGGAGCTACGGCAGCGGTATAGGCAGGTGTATATTGGAGGTTTTGTGTTGAAATCTAACACTATGACTAACAGTGATTGGAGTGATTGCATTAACCTAACAATGAGGAAATGCATTTGCTAAAGAGGATTTGAAGGACATAGAATAGATATTTTCTTCAGGAAAATACTCTGTTTCCAAAACAAGGGCTTCCTCCCACGGCTTCGCCTAAGGCCGTCACTACCACTTCGAGTATGGTATGTTTCATTGAATGATTGTTATAAAAATTCGAAAAAACGAAAAAAGGAGTATACAAAGATGAATTTACTGGACTTAATTAATTATCGAAAGCTAAATTTCTTAGGAACATCTGAATTTGATTCTCTCCCCTTCAACGACTGAAAAAAGTTCTAGCAACACAAATTTTTCTCAATGCCTTAAAGGAAAAGAAATACTTTGTAGGCGGAGTCAGAGGATGATGATGAAAGTACGTGTACAAGCGACAAAATAATCATAGAACGCTTACTGGACAACTACAAATCCTTCAAAACTCCTTCGGAAACGGGGGTGATAGTATGGATAGAGGTACGCTACCACTCAGCCATTCCTTCCTTTAGTCACTTATTTTTAATTCCTAGGTGTGGGTACAAGAAGTTAACTCAGTGAACGAAATAACAAGCGATTTCGATATGGATATCTACATTACGGAGCTTTGGCTTGACCATGCTCTGCGATACGATCACATGAATCCTTGTAAATTCAATTTGTCACTAAACTCTGAGGTTGGCAACATTTTTGAAAATAGAATTGTAATGAGATTAAGCTATTTAGATAATGGACGAGATTTGGAAGCCAAACACTGTATTCATCAACAGCAAAGCAGCTCATATTCACAAATCGCCGTTTAAGAATGTATTCCTCATGATATATCCCAATGGTACGGTTTGGGTAAACTACAGGGTACAGGTGAAAGGACCGTGCACAATGGATTTCAGGTAAACTTTGAGCATAACCTTTTGCATTTTGAATTTACTATCCTTTAGCGCTTTTCCAATGGATCGCCAATCATGTCACCTTACACTAGAGTCATTTAGTTATAACAATCAAGAGGTAATTCATGAACTCCTGCTGCAGAAATTGAAAATCTGTTTTAGGTTGATATGCAATGGATAAATTGGACAGATGCGCTGACGCTGCTCAAGAAAGAAATAGTCCTTCCAGACTTTGTGCTCAGCAATTACTCGACCGCGCTCGAACGTGTGGTGAGTGAATTTGACAGAACTTTTCTTTGGATGATTTTGATTTTTTTCGTAAAGTCTAGCGTGCTCAAAGCAAGTTTTCCTTCATTTTCTTGTACTTTTTCTCACAATACTGATCACTTTATCTCATACTAATTGACCAACTTCCGATGTTCCAACGCTCTCCACTCCTAATGTTCCATGCAGATTTGCAATTGTACATGGAAAGGGATAGAGTATACATTACATCTTCACAATACTTTACAGGATATTTCCTTGTAGCAGGCATTATGAGAGGCATTCAAAACCAGTATCTTGAAAGCATTGCCCGTAGTAGACCTTATAATCTTTAATTGTCATAGATTTGAACTATTCTAGGTTCTAGAAACTGATATATCCTCAAAACGCTCTGACTGCAGAGGTCAATGGATCATTTTCTCAAACAAATAGTGCACGGAACGTCAGTTGCCAAACGAACAACTAAAAAAGTTGAAAAGGCTTAGGCCAGACTTCTCGCAGAGGTGCCTGAATCCTACCCATCAATCCTGACAAAGCCCTCCATGAGCTGACGCAACTCATAACGTTTACAAAATGCGTATCCCTAATAATTCTTACTCGAAATTTTGCAGATTTATCCAGCTGGAACATGGAATGAATTGACGATGACATTTGTGTTTAGTCGGCGTTACGGGTGGTATATCTTTCAAGCTTATATTCCGACATACCTCACTATTTTCATTAGGTAAAATTCAATGGCTGACTTGCTGATAGCCCCTTATTTCGACCTCACATTCCAGCTGGATAAGCTTTTGCCTTGGTCCCAAAATGATCCCCGCAAGGACAATGCTCGGAGTGAACTCGTTGTTGGCGTTAACGTTCCAGTTTGGAAACATCATGAGAAATCTGCCACGAGTCAGTTATGTCAAAGCACTAGGTAGATGCCTCACTTTATCTTTTCAAAAAGCATGACTGAATAAAACGTTAAAGATGTATGGATGCTGGTCTGCTTGACATTTGTGTTCTCATCACTTTTGGAACTGGCAATGATAGGAGCAATCGGCGCTAAAATGGAAGTGAGTGGCTTTCAAATATCTCTAAATGGATAAAACTTCTGAAAATGTTTCTTCCTTATGCAGCAGACAAAAGCGCCATGTCCTACAACGCAACGGTCCCGTTCCTCTTCCTGTACATCACCGCGTATATGTCGCAATCACGTACAGTCAGATTCACCTCATGGGTTCCGCAGTTATGGGACTACAGGTTGGTACCCCCGGAAATGGGTCGTGAAATTTTTGAAAATTACTTCCATGACCGAGGAAATGTGTAAGTGACTTGTTTGTACTTCTAAGTAACTAAAATAATTTTTTTTAAATTTTTTGAAATTGCAAGTTAGCCTTGTAAAAATTTTTCTTCGGGAGGGGACAGCCACGCTCTTTTTGAATTTCCGGGCTATGGAACCTAAAAATTTTTGGGAGAAGTGCCACAAAAACTTTAGTGTGTATTACCTAGCTGACTTTTATTTGAAAGGCGCCACTGGAGTGTACATGATGAAATTTTAATATTGATAATGCAGAAAAAAATCATTTTTACATTCTAAGAGGAGTTTCAGCTCCCCACCTGATTTCTGATGGAATAAAATAAATGATATAATGTGCACTGCTGTGCATTCTGTGCACAGCGGGCTGGGAGGGGGGGGGGGGGAAAGAGTTATAAAATTGTCCAAGTGGCTTGTTTTGCTTATGATTAAAATAATGTTTCGATCCAAAAATGAGGGGAATTTTTTGGAGCACTAAGAATTTTGGGGAGCATCATTTTGCGGAGGGCGTGGCGAATACTACACCACTTCATCCAAAAAATTTATTTTATATAGTACCCTTCTCTTTCCTTCCCGAACAAATGTCACCGCCACTGTTTGCACAGTATGCTCTTCGTATCCCTACGGAAAAGTGACAGAATGGAAATAGTCCACCTTGGAAAATCTTTCTACAAAAAATCTCCTTATTTTCATATCACTATGCAGACCCGCGGATGAGGAGAAGACATTTGCTAACTACACCTGGGACAATTTCAAGAACATCCAGGGATGCGACACAGTGAGTTTCTATTTAAACATTGAAAATGAGCGAAGACATTAGTTGTGCTTAAGGACACCCGAAAAAATGCTTTTGTTGGATGGTTGCGAGGATAAACCATTTGTCCAGCCGACAAAAAGAGGATGGACTACGGATCGGATCGATCGCACGAGCATGATCATTTTTCCCGGGCTATTTACACTTTTCAACATTATTTACTGGTCTTACTACCTCAGCCTAGACTAAAAGACGGAAGCAACTTGATGCGATATGAAAATGAACTGCCAATTGGAGAAAAGTTTCATCAAACTCAGTGTTTCTCATGTTTTTCAGTATTCACATGTAAATTAATGATTTGTTGTGACTTCTAAGTGCCTCGTCTTTCGTGAACATGGCAATTTGCTGCTCAGTTTGAATAAAAAATTCGTTCTTTACTTGGGCAGCAACATGTGCTTACTAGTCGCCCTAACCCGAGTACTATATCATAAGGATTAGTGAAGAAGGTCCGAAAAGAAAATACTCAAATAAGCAAGGATCATTCTTGTGAAAAAAAAAACAATAAGAGCGGATTACAGGCACATCCAATAGATTGTGAAATGCACACGTATTTGCGAATGACAGACTTGTGAATGAAGTTTATAAATGAGAAAAAATGAACAGATTTATATGGATGAGAAAACGAGCGAAAAAGAAGCCGCACGGAAAAGCGAAACTTGACAAAATATCAACTGATTGCGCTTAAACCAAATGTGTCGAAGGTCACATCGTTCTCTTTTGATCTTGCGGACGCTGCAAATTTACTGTACTCTTGTAGAATTTCGTTTAATGAAGTAAAAATATTTATATTGTTCAGAACACATTGAAGTTTTCCAACCCCATACCCCCCCCCTTTTTTTCGGGTTCCTTTTTTGATGATTGTTCAATTTAATGTTAATTTTTTTCTCCATTTAGAGACTTTGTATTGTTTCTAGTTTCATAAATATTCGAACTAACAACATAATTATTACAGTAAGCTAGGAAGCTGATTTTTTGCCACAAAAGAAGCACATACAATGTAAATAATGAAGAGGTTGCAATATAGATCCACAGTGTAATGTAATTTCTTGCGTAATTTCCCCTATAACTGCTAATTCTTCTCCGTTCCACTTTCGGTCAGGTCAAATTCTAGTTCTCTGTCGATTCTTTTGAATCGCTCTCTAAGCTCATCAGCATTGTCGAGCCACGAGTTCTTCACCTTTTTTGAACAGAAAAGCATCTGAAAATTCACTGCAAAGAATTGCTGGTGCTAAATAATTTCATTACCTTATCGTATTTTCCAAAATGCATAAAATAACATGAGGGGAAATGCCGAGAATAGACGAAATGTACCTGAAGATGTCAAAACATAATTTTGATTGTGCTACAGAATTTAAGGCTTACCCTATCGGCTTCGTCAACCGTCTCAGGTCGAGTAACTATATTTACAATAACAGCTCCTGCATAACAAGCATTTGTTTCTGTTCTTGAACGAGAAGTTCCTACCATCAGGTTTAAGTATTTTGCTCATTTGCTTAATTTCCTCGTCAACCATAAACTCTTCTATGGGAGCCATGAGGTCTCTGTGCTCGTTGTAGCAGACGTCTATCAGAAGTACGTCGTAGATTTCTCCTGGGATATGGTGAATTTGGTTAATTCTAGTTAAAAAATGTGTTACATCCCACAACGCAGATTATTTTTGGTTTATATGTACTTTCTATAAAAATATATCCCAAGCTAGTGCAGCATCTCAAGAAGATGTGCACACTGTTTGATCTTCAATACTTTTTTGTTTCAATGTTTTGTCGAACTTTAGGTACCATTCTGTAGAGCTGGTTTCAATTTAGATTTGCATTATGGAGCAAATTTCTCATTTTTCTTCGTTACTCAGGATTACGGTAGGAACTTTGAAGAGGGTTTTCAGCCTTGAATGCAACATTTGGCCCAACAAAAAAAGCCAAACAAACCAAAAGTTTCATGCTAGGCTAATCATGGTGGATTATTTCAGGTATGAGATTCGTACACCACATCCTTGCTTCCTTCATAAACAGTGGCGGTCTCAGGATTTCCGTCCGGCGGGGGGGGGGGGAATTTTTTTCAAATGAAGGTGCGGTGTTAGCCACGCACTTCGAAAAATTTTTTGGGGTGCTTCTTAAAATTTTTCCGGGACCAAGATTGAATTTTTCAAAAATTTCAAAAATTATTTTGATTATTTACAAAAATAAACAAGTCATTTGCACATTTTTATAACCGATGTAGTTAAGTTTCAAAAATTTCGCGACCCATTCTCGAAGGGGGGGGGGGGGCGCGCCACCTCCCCCCGGCCTTCCTCCCCCCCCCCCCCCCCCCGCCTTCCCCCTCCCCCTCTCGGTCCGCCATTGTTCATGAGTTATATCAAGAAAACAGTAGTAACTGTTTTTCCAATGTTATTCAATTATGTGATTACACCTCTAAGCTCAAAAATCTCGTAATTTTTGTATGAAATCAGCATGATTGAAAATCTTGATACACAGGTTACAGAGGCGCCTAGGTCGACAAAAGAGATCGGAGCAAGCCAGTTATATAGATCAAACATTGTGCACATCTTCGGGACACTCTTAATATATATAATTTATCAAAAATAAAGACTGGCTACATTACTAAATGAGTAATGAAGGCTGACCTTTCCTATTGGCTTCACGAATAAATCGAATACCATCGTCCACAACTATTCGCTGCATAGGGGTTGTTTCAAGCTCGTACCACTTTTCTGCGATTTTCTTCATGACCGGATCGTTATCCACAACAGTGACATTCAGCTAAACAAGTCTCGAATAGGGTGTTAAAGGCACACAAAAAAATCCAGCGAATTTGTAAAAATCTCTTAAACTGCACTTAGACGAGCCTACAATGTCTAAAATCCAAAACTTCTCACCTGGAGCCTATCCATGGAGCTAAAATAATTATTTATGATGCCTCCTCCCAATCCTATCACCAAAACGTTTTGCACATCTTTGAAATCGTAATCCAAAGCGCCACTGAAGAACGAGCCAGCGATCATCATACGGGCATAATTTAACTTCACACTTTTCTTATACACCTTCCAACCTTTGCTGTTGAAGTTTTCCCAGTTCATTGCTGCAAGGAGTTCAATGAAGAATAAAATTATTCAAGCAAACTAGAAATGGCTTACGACGAGGAGGAAGTAGTCGAGCTGCAGAAAGAAGCAGGATAGATCCACTTCCTTCGCTTCGCAGACCACGGTATGCGAATAATCTATAGGTTGATTTAGAGTGAATTTGCAGTTTTTGTAAGTCTGTCTTTACCTATCAGACTGCATTTCATAAGTGTCGATGATGTTAAAACACAGGCCTGTAGCTTCGCTGCATAGTTTGTCAATATGAAAATCGAGCTTTCTTTGGAGAATCTTGAAAAATGGCGAACTCACAATCCTGTTATTAGAAGACAGTAACTTTCTCAGTATAGCCTTCTCGGTCTTCGTCTCGTTCAAAAATGGAGCATGACATTCTTCAACTTTACTATTCTCTTTGTCGTTGTTATACCAGTACCATACACTCTATATAATCGAGCCTAATTCAGACGAAACTTGCGAAGGTAGAACTCACTGCTGTGATTATTCCACAAAGCGAAAAATATAGCAGTGCAGATCTGGACATTTCCCACACAGCCTATGTGGTATTCAAGCACTTCATGAGCACGAATGGCTATATCAAGCTGTTCAAACTACTGCCAAAATGTCTATTTTCGGATTATTAGCGCTATAGTATTCGATTAGGATGCTCGACTATGCTTGACTTGATTCTACAAAATAAATAAATATGAACTTTCCATCATTTTCAAGCGCTTTCTTTAGAAGAGTACCTTCTCAGCTGTGCAAGCTAATAATGCAATTAACCTTTTTCATAGGACGCCGTTTTCCTTAATATCTAGCTTCCCTCACATAGTGAGAATATCATCATCTCACTTTTAACGAGGAGATGGCAATTTAATAACTGAGTAAGAGAGCTTCGGTTTGTGTGTTATAAATTCTCCGTTGCGCAACAGGCGTATCACCAAACTGACACCGAAACCAGTTCGGAAATAACAAAAAGTGACTCATCCTTTCATTTTCGAGAGCGGCGAATCGTCTTGAACCTTGGCATTATGCTTCGAATAGTCATGCATTCTACAGAACATGTCATGAAATAGAAACCATGATTCAAGGAATAGGATTGTATGATACTGACTATGTCTCAAAGTTTGAAAGTATTTATGATCAATAAATTTAGGAAAAAAAACCTAATAAAACAACATCGACATCATGGCAGTTACATCAACATCGAAAGCACATCTTAGAGATTATCGTATGCGTATCAATAAAGCTCTAGCGTTTCTAAGTCCTCGTGAATCCTGCACAGGGGTCCTCACCCTCCGTGTACTGACGAATCGCCGTGGTGCGGATGACGTTGTCGCGGGAGCAGATCACCTGCACGAGGTGCTTGCGTTTCTGCCCCTCGAGCTCGCGGATCTTCTCCATCCACGTCTTGCGCTCCTGCTCGAGCTTGGCGATCTCCAGCTTCCTCTGCTCCTCCAGCCGTTTGAACTCCTCCAGCCGACGCCTGTGTTCCTCTCGTCGAGCCTCCATCTCCCTCCTGTAGTCCTCCTCTCGCCGCCGAATTTCCTCTCTTCGTAGCTCCTCTTCCTTCCTTCGCTCTTCTTCTCGAATTCTGTCTTCTTCCTTTCTCATTTCGTCCTCCTTACGGCGCTGCTCTTCGTATCGTCTGTCTTCCTCTCTTCGAAACTCTTCTTCCTCTTTTAGTCGTTTTTCCTCAGCTAGAATTCTCTCCTCTTCCAATCTTCTCTTTTCTTCTTCCAGTTTTCTCCGCTCATCCTCTTCTTTCAGCTGCCTTACCAGCTCATCTTCCTCTCTTTCTATCTGCTCCTCCTCTTTGGGCAACTCTAATTTCGGGAGTTCATGCTCCTTTGGTGCCGCTTCCCCCGAACGCTTCTTTTCTTCATCTTCTCTCATACGAGCTTCTTCTAGTGCTTTTTCTTCATCCAACCACCTCTGTTCTTCTGCCTTTCTTTGCTCTTCCAATCGTTGCTCCTCTAATCGCCTCTCCTCATCTAATTTTCTTTCTTCTTCTCGTCTCCTTTCTTCCTCCATTTTCTTCTGCTCCTCGAACCGCTTTTCCTCATCCAGCCTCCTCTGCTCTTCCAGCCTCTTTTCTTCATCCAATTTTCTCTGCTCTTCCAGTCGCCTTTCCTCTTCTATTCGTCTTTGCTCTTCCGCTCTATGCAATTCATCAAGTCTTTGTTGTTCTTCCATTCTGCGTTCATCTTCTCTCCTCTGTTCTTCTTTGATCCTTTCCTCTTCCTCTTTCCTTCGCTGCTCCTCTTGTCGTTCTCTTTCTTCTTCTTCTTTTCCTAGAGGAACTCCTTCACGTCTTTCCTCATAAAACTCCTTATGCTCATAAGTATCCAAACGTTCTTCTGTGTGGGTACGAGTTTCGCCGTAAGCCCCTTCTCCAGATGGCAGAAGGTGTGCGGGAGGAGTGCTCAGTCTTTGCATCAACTCGTCCCAAGCTTGTTTCTCAACTTCGGTTTTGTTCTGCACAGAGGTCCCACCTTCGACGACTACCTATAACTAGTACATTCCACTTCTTAGATCTCACAAATAATCCTGTCCATTTACCTTCTCATAGTAGTCTTTATAAGCTACATAATGTGGTATACAGAGCATGACTTGCTGATGTAGCGATAGTTCTTCAGACGATTCATCGGGCTGAATAAGCATACGACGCTGGTAATGTTGTACGGGAGCATCTGGGAAAACAACGTTGCTAGAAGATGAAGTACAGCGAGAAAACAGAAGTCAAACACCTTTGGTCAGAAGCTCTATATCACCCATGTGATAGGTTTTCTTCGAAAAGTTCCCTTCAACAACAAATTCTTGAGGGACAGAGCGAATGAAGAAGTGCTAAAAGTGAATTGTATGGGGACGGGACTATCGAACAAATGGATCTCACCTTCTGGTCTAGACCCTCATAGCCACAGTTGTGCTCGATGTAGATATAGGGCTCAATGTCGGTGACCTAAAAGTTAAAATTATTGAGTCATTTATACTGAAACTGGACATTCCGGTTACTGAAGTCTTAGGCTTTTCAAAATGTTATAAGATGATAGCGAGAAAAGGAATCAAATATCATTTTGCTTCAACGTGCATTTTCGCTTTTCCTTGAGTTATTATGGTGTCCCATGATTATTTACCCATGTTAATCTCTCCCGCAGTAACTCACATTCTTTTTGTTTATCAAATAGGTTTTGCAATACCATTCGACAGAGCAGAGCAGGTTCTAAAAGATAACACCCACATGTATGCTCAAAGCTTGTTCTACTTGAAGTTCGAAGCAGAAATCTAAAAAAATTTTAATGCTCAATTCGACTACGGACTTCCCACTGGCTCAGATATTTACTCCCTACATTTGGTACTTATCTGTGAATTTGCTTGTTTTTTCTATGGCTAGGACACGAGAAACATAAATACACCAAAATAGGGCAAAAATACGAAAAAGTCGTTTTTTCCGGGTTTTTTTGCTCTAATTTTGACATTTCTCGCAAAAAAGCAAAAATTCATTATTTCACTTCCAAAGGTTCATACTTCAGAATTACTCATGTAGGAGCAGCCAGAGTTTGGGCACAAATATGAAAATCATTTTTTCTCCATTTCCAGCCTTGGAAAAAAAGCGAACGAGTATATAGTTGCCAGATGTGGATTCATTTGCCCGGGGAAGTATGAAGTTTGCGGGAATTTTTTGAACGGAGACACAATTTCTTTCGATTCTTGGACACTTACACCTTCTTAGGTTTCGTCTTCGAACTTTATGTAGCAAAAATCTGAACAAATTTTGTGCTCTGTCGATTACTACCGCAGAACTTATTCAAGAAACATGAAGAATATGTGTTATTGTGGGAGAAAATAAATACGGCAAAAAATTATGGGACACCCTGATATTTTGTATGGAACCCATGACTTTGAAATCCTCAGAATTCTGGTTTCGAAGCGAGATGAGGTGCACTCACCTCTGTGGTTACACCTCGAACACAGAAAACTCCATGATCATCCGCTGTCACCGATCCAAGCAGATCGTCACTATCAAATAATGGAACTGGAAAAGGAATTTGCAGTAAAATTAGCTTACAAATTCCAATTTGTGATTTTGGTAAATTACAGCCCATACAAATAAGCAAACGTGCATGTTTATGACGAAAGTTGTTGATTCAATTATATCAGAGGATGCTGCGCTGCTTTTGCAGTCAAACTATCGTTTTATTTTTCCTATAATGGAAAACTGCGAGCATCGAAATTTGCAGCTCGCCAAGCATAAGAATGAGCAGTATTCAGTGTGTCACGGACCCGTCATACTTCGCCGAGAAAAGCCCAAAAGCGCCCAAAAAGCTCAGAAGCGCTCAAAAAAGTCCAAAAAAGCCCAAAGAAGCCCTAAAAGGCCCAAAAACGCAGAAACGAACCTTTTGTAGAATTCTGACATTATTTTGATGTGCAAGCGACAGGAAATGAACCAAAAAGACTGGGTTGCGAAATCAACACACACTCTTTAGCGCCAAAACGTGCGCACGGAAGGGGCGTTCCGGCTCTTTCTGGCGCTTTTGGGCTTATTCGGGCTTTTTTGGGCTTCTTTGGGCGCTTTTGGGCTTTTATCGGCGAAGTATGACGGGTCCCTCAGATATATCACCCCCCCCTTTCCCGTCCGCACCCAAGCGCGACTCCATTCTATTGGCTTAGCCTCACCGGCGAGATATGTTACGTCGATGAAAAAGTCCTCAAAAAAGTCTAAAAATTCTTTGTAGAAATGTTTGAAATAATTTCTTAAAAGCACAACATTTACTCTTTATAACCTATATCAAAAGTAGTTTCTCACTGTCAGTATGAATAGCGGGATTTTCTCGACTTGAACAGAAGAACTTGAATGAAGAATTCGAAAATCATCAATACCCGTAGAAATGTGCAGTCGGCTCTATTATTCCCAGATAGCAAAAGCATGTTATGGAACAAGCTCAAGTAAGAAAAAAAAACGAAAAAACTAACCCAAAAAATACAAAAAAAAGTAAACCAAGAAAGCTGAGACTTTGTCGAACACTGCAATGAATGAGAGTGAGTTCTATCAATAGTTGATCAAAACAATCGAATCTGAGAGCGATTTTTAGGCTGTATGCCACACACCATTTGGACAATTCTGGACAAAGAGATGGGCATATATGGTCCAAAAATAAAAGATTATATAAAGAGACACTGTCTCCAGATCCCATATCCAAATTGCTACCTAAAAGAAACCTAATCCAATAACGCTGCCATGCGATAAGTAGCCTATTTATATGGAACATCATTCATGCGATAAGTCTCATGTTAAATTTAAACCAAGAATTAGAGCCTACAACAACTTACGGGCATCTTCGTCATAAAGCTGTACAAAAGTTCCGGGTTGCTGAACACCCCTGCAATTCACTCTGCCTTTCACAACCACGCTCTGCTCTCGAAAAGTGTTTTCAACGAGAGGTATCAGCAAGACCAAATGAAGTAGAATCGTCCTGCATACGGTCATTACCCGCTGTGGCTTGCTAATTCTGTAAGCATTAGGCTATAGTACCACACTTCATCGTACAAAACATCATAAAAGAGACAACGTTATACAACATAAAGAGTTCCGTGACAACATCGTATGGCGAATGCCAACTCGAACGAATCATCGTCTTATATACGACGACGTCGTCGTTGAAACGTTTCTTCACAATTTTCGGCATTTTAGAGGGTAGAAAATGAAAACAATGAAGTAGGTGCCGTCCAAGTTTGGGATGAGCCGAGTTCAGTTGGACCGGCTAAGGAGACGTAGAGTTAGCTTTCAAAGGGCTACTATAGAATTCAAGGAGAGCCGATTTCTAGGAGGAGTCACTGCAATTTATTACCAATTTGGAATTGTATATCCATTCCTATATACCGAATAATACTTTTTGACAATCGAGCGGTCATTTGAAGGTAGAGCCAACGTCCAGAAGAGGTAACGGTAACAGCTAGACGGAAAACGACTCAAGGCAACCGAAAACCAGCTAATCCACGACTTTTCATCGGTCACAACATTGCTAGAATTAGCTTCTTAGGTCAGAAATATCGAAACCATGAAGAGCTGAACAATAGCAAAAGGTTTTCCGAGCGTTGTTCAGAGAAACTTGGCGGCGGCAAAGCTCCGAATGCGAATGACGAATCGAAAGAATGAAATGGTTTGAAAAGACGAATGTGTTATGTATTCTATACCTCAGTGTCAAATGTAAGAGCTCAATACAGGACTCTTTGCTACCGTAAAGTACAGTGTGCGAAAAACTGTTCAAAGAGTTCAGGTTAGTTGAGACAAGGGACCTTTGAAACGATCGCTGTAGAATTGAATAGGCCTTTCATACAGCAGTTGATTCACAGCTTTTCATTTTTTATCCCTTTTGAAACCAGAAGGGATGATTACCCTAAAAATCACCGACACTCTGTGGCTACTCTAAAATATTGTGGTCATGGTGAAGTCAAAGTGCGTTGTTTTGCAGCTTTTGCTGTCAAATTTAATTTTAGCCGATCTGATATCAGAGATGCTGTTTATCACAGTAAAGCCAAAAAGCAACCCATTTGGTTCCTGCCAGAGCTCAGCACGAGATGGCTTTCAAAAAATCCAAATTCAAATCCATCTTTTCCAAACCTTTCAAAGGCAGTGTCCAGGCTAATTCTAATACCCTTCGATTAGGGTCGATCTCGAATGTAGGCCCCACGAGAGGGGCATCTGCGGTGGTCCGGTCCTCTAATGTTGTCTCTGAATGGGGATAAGGGGCCTGGAACAGCCAAAGTGCTAGGCCCCGCCTAGATCCTATCAGACTCCGCCCACCTATGTACTGAAATCCGCCCGCGCCCTCAAGACAGGACCCTCAGGAATCGGGTTTTTTGGGGGTTTTGAACTATTTCAACTTTATAACTGTAGTCAGGGCCACGGGAAGGCCCCGGAATGGTAAAAACATGGGAGGCAAAACTTTAAATGGACGCTGCCTCTAACCCTAAACCCTAGACGTAACAAACCCTCAAGAAACGAAACGTCGACTAAAAAAAACGTAACCTAAGTTGAGTTTTTTCGGCCACAAAAACGATATTCCCTTTGCTTTTTGTCCCAAAAACAATGTCCAGCTTGTTTATAAGCCAGCTGTACCGAGCACTGGTCCTTCGTTATCGAAAAATCACTAAAAATTGAGAAGTCCCTGCTAGTGCATATGGTATAAATTTTCGCCAGAAAAGAAATGTTAGCAAAGCTACGGTAAGAGAAAAGCATTTCGGTGTGAATCACAAAAACTGTATTTAATATCATGAAGACATGTCAATATTCTCAAGCAATATGTGTTGAAGTCTACAGCTGCTTCAAATACCTCTAAATGATCATGACACATGCCATAAGTTCCCACCTGGTTCCTTCAAGCGGCTGCAATTTTTTTTTGCTTTATAGAAAGCGTATTTTTTCTATAAAGACCACTTTGAATGAATATTTGGACGACTTAGTCTCATTCTGCAAGCCCTCATCTAGATGGCTTCGTTTGTCTTCACTTAGGTGACGGCTGAGTTTGCTTTTCAGAATAAAAATCGGCTTAGTTTATCATGGGACACCTTATCTGATACCTTACCTTATGATTCATCCTTTAGGCCAATTCAAACTATCAACAATCTTCACAATTATATAACTTTATTCGCATACATATAAACTACAATCTCAAGCGAACATCTCCAATATTATTTTGGTCCTCTCGTATCAGAATCACGGGTTCCGGAGCACCTTAAATTATAAGTAGTGTGTTGAAATGTACAGTGAGTTTGTTGCAGTCTGACGGATGCGTTTGTAACGAAAGCTGTGAAACCTGTAAACAGAAAGAGAGTATTAGAACTGATAAAAATAATAAACTGACAGTAATCAATTATGACAAAGAACCCATAGGTCTGGTATCTGTTCTTTTTACATAAAGCTCTTTATCTGTGACATGTCGCAGCACTCATGACGTGAGTGCGGACAACGGTGTATGCAAAAAATAGCCGTAAATCTTTTTTTTTCACATTAATGGAAGCTCAAAACGGAGCAGTTCTATTCAGGCAATTATAGGCTGCTTATCTGGAAATGCTTGATTTTCACATGAGAACAATGGCGCTTTGGAATTTTGCCAGATATCTAGAAGCGATGTTCTTTATCTAAATGCGTATTGTTGCCCTGGAAGCTTATTGGAACGGCATCAAATTCTTTTTAAAAGCAATAAAAAACTGCCTGCTAGCACTTTTTCAATTGTACTTGATCGTATTTGCAGCTGTATTGACTGATCAGCTGTTCGCTAAGCCGCGCTTGTCCATATGTACGCAACTTTTATTGTCCTGAACGAATCCTTCGGAACAGAATGTTCGCAACTTCTAAATTTGTTTTAAAACTGTTGCTCGACTAAATTTTCATCCTATAGGTTATAGTAATGCAATGTAAGAACAATGAAAATCGTAATTCATCCTCTTGTGCTTGGCGATTTCGAAAAATTGCAGGTGTAGAATGGTACAGCTGGCTTATTATCAGTTGCTACTGACTTTGTCAGAAAGTGATTTTTTAACCACATTAGTCAAATTCTTTTCCGATTAAAAACTAGTCTTTAACGTTACACAGGAGCTCCAGTGATCGTAAAACTGCTCATGCATGATCGCACACCTCAAAGGCAGCGTCCAGGCAAATCTGGGCCTATGGGGATCTCACTTGGAGGGTAATCTTGGAGCCCTAACTAAAACACTGTCCAAGCGGCAGCTCAAATCGTGAGCTCACAGTTAAGATATTCGCCTCTCAACTGGACCCCGGGATCGTATTCGCATGATTTCATGGCGCGACACATCAGTTTTGCGCGAGGACCCACGCGTGTCGCGCCATGAATCCATGCGAATACGACCCCGGGGTCGAGTTTCGAGGCGAATATCTCAACTGTGAGTTCACCATTTCAGCTGCCGCTTGGGCAGTGTCTTAGTTAGGGCCCCAAAATTATTTTTCACACCAGAACCCCGTATGTCCAGATTTGCCTGGACGCTGGAGCTTGTGTCAAAAGACCCTATAACTCTGTAGAATATAGAACTTCCAAATTGACGTCGACTGATAAAGACTCAGCTGTCATGGTGCTCAACATAACTTTTATCTGACATGACACGAAGTGATAACGGTGGTAAGATCGAGCAATGCACATTCATTCTTCAGCAAAAATAAGTCTTTACCGATTGATAGATAAGTCAGTGTCTGAAAGATCTTCTTCTCGAATTCGGGAACGAACGCAGTGTGACTGCAGTGTAAGGTACGGCTTCGAAGTTTGGGCACTGTGGTTGGAGGTATAAGAGCTTTTGACCGTTCCCGCAATGCACTTTTAGAAACAGTCGGAAGTGGACTAGCCGTCGAAAGAAATCGCACAAAAGCAGGTAGGTTAAAAAGTAGGTGAACTTGTCTGGGAGTTTCTTGGGACTAGGAATTAGCGGGAAGTTACCGGGTTTATGCCGGCAACTGGTCTGATCTCAATCCTGTACCGCCCATTGCCGAGCTCGCCAATCGCGGTGCAGACGGACCAATCACAGGCGTTGCCACTAGCGAGTGGTCTTCAAACCTTCCGAAGAGGCTTTACTGTAAGATGTTGATAATGAACTACGAATTAGTTCAACACATTAAGAACCAAGGTTATAAAGTTTTGTAACAACGATTCATAAGATGCATCAATCTTTTCATTGAACAAATCAAACACTACCTGCGTAATGCGCTTTTAGCAGCTGTAAATCTCCTTGTCTCTTCCGCACTATTTCTTATCAAATTGGGGCGTTTCCACATAGACATGAGACTCCTTGACAGTTGCGGAATTTCAGGGTTCTCCAGATAATGGATAAAGGACGCATCTCTGCAAAAAGGTCGTGCAAATAGCTCACAGTTAAGAGATATGTATTGATGACCATTTCATTTCATGTGCATAAAAAGCGTTAACAGTTACATGGTGTCGTTTGAACGATGTGTACGTGGCTGTTGGGCATAGGTCGAGCAACAGCCTGGTCTGATCCTAGCATTCATCACCTCGCTCTCAATCATCTTTGAAGGGACTTTTGCACTGTGGAAAAAGGCTCGGCTGTGCTATGTCCCATGTGATCCTCTGCTGTAATGATGTCATGTGAGTATCCGGCAACTCGTAGGTTATATCTTACCATAGCATGAGTCAGACTTGAGGAACCCTTGAAAAAAATTGCATTCCATATGCATCACATATTCTGATAAGAGTTTGACGGAGACCCCTTGACAGTTACTTATATGATGCCCATGATATCATCAGCTCATTTCGCTTGTCTTCACATAAAAGCGTTCTACCTTCACTTGCTCCTTCATTTTGTGTTTTCTATCCTTCCCAAGCAAAGTGGCTGAATGCTTTTGTTGACTTGCTACTGTTCATTGAATGATAGTTCAAACAAAGCCTGTTGAGCTTGTCGTGGGCTTATTAAAGGGATTGTAAAGTACTAAATTATTTCACTACTTTCACCCACATGTTCTGATCCTCATGAAACATCTCCTCGCCCATTTCGGTGCGGTATAACTCCTCTTCTGGTCATGGCGTTCCTATGACGCAGTGACGGAGTAGTAGTACCGTCACAAATGTTCATAAAAAAGTTATTGTTAACGTTCAAGTGTAGTTTTATATTCCATTTGTGCATCGTTCTGATCCATAATATGCAAATAAGCACAGGATCGATGCAACGGTGCAATTCAACATCTATAAAAGCACTCCTGTCCTGGGATTGTCTTCCATTTTTATAGCATTCGAACTGAATTCTCCACTGAATTTTTTGTTAGTTTGGCGACTCGCCCCAATTTTCGCATAAAACACAACCGCTTTATGAAAGCCGATTTATCGTTTTTCATTCATGTGTAACCAGTTATTGACCATCGACGGATTCGTAATTGAATCACAGATCGATTTCTACTCTCACTGCTACGATTTGTATTTCAGAAGAGCAAAATGTGCCTCACTATGTGTACCCAGATTGTGTACGGCGTTATTATGTTAGCTTGTCTTGGGCTGACAATGTTCTCGATGTTCTCGCCAAGTACGTTTTTTCCCGCAGTATTTTCATTCTGGACAGTAAACAGATGTTTGCCACAAGTGCACCCCACACGTGATCATCATGTAAAAGGATCAATAGCAAATAATTCCACGTCTAATCTACGAATATTTTGCGTCATAGCGAACGATTACACTAATGTAAAATTTGTCTAACTGCATTAAAACACGCTTAGATCAAGGGTGCCATATGAGGGGGAGGAAAAGGCTATAAAACTTGTAAATTCGGATTTTTTACCGAAAGCAAAAACGAGGATAGTGTAGAATACACAAGCAATTTCACGGCTCATAAACGATGTCGCTTGTAGATGTTCTTTGTATATGACTAATCATCATGTCACTCTCAATGTAATCTGGTGAATATGATCATTTGTAAATTTCGCAATAACTGTTCTCGGAAAAATAAAGTGCATTCTTCATCAAAATAAAACAAGTAGCAAATATAAGGGAAGGTTGATGAAAAGTCCAAGAAATTTTTCTTAAATTCTGAAATTTTGATCATAGACAACAAGAACAAGGCCTGGCACAGGTGGTTCATAAGCAAGCTGGATTTCGTTTTTGAAGACAAAAAGCAAAGGGGATATCGTTTTTGTGGCCGAAATGACATAAGTTGATTTCTTTTTTTGCCTCGACGCTTCGTTTCTTTGCGGATTTTTGCCTTTAGGGTTTAGGGTAAGGGACTTGCGAAAATTTAAAATTTTGCGAAAATTAAATGGGGGCTTCGTTTTTTGCGTTTTCGGAAAGCCACCTCGTGCCGAGCCCTGAACACGAGAAGCGAAAAATGTGAATGCTTGCGACTTGCAAGCAGAAAAAGGATCACCTAGGATTTCCTCATAACAATGAGTTATTCTTACAATTCAATCTAAAGATGGACATTTCGGGTCACACTCGAAAAATAAACAAATGCTAGTAAGTGCTTTTGCAAATAAAGTACTAACCAGAAACATAAAGTGTTAAACACAGAAAAATCTTTGAAAAATGGAATGAGCTGGAAGACTTTCAAGAGGGTGCACAAAAATTTCCTACAATGAACGATCAGTGTATCATCATTTCTTTTAGCTGACTCCAGTTATTTCTTAATTATCATAAAGTAGATGACCAAGTTTTTTCTGCCATGTCCTTAAAAACACGTGACATGGCATATTTCAACTTCCAAAAGTATTTTCTTGTCAATAGATAAGTTTCTGTATAGTGAAAATTGTCGTGGCAAGCATTATTTTCACTAATCACAAGATTGATTCGGTCAATTTTGACGGAAATTGAAGATCACACTAATTGATACCATGCATATCAGGACTTTTCAGATTGGAGACAAATCAAAAATATCACTGATGTAGACAATATCGGCGATTTATCGAAGGAAATTCAAAACCTTCCTAAGCATGTAGGATTATTTTCATTTTCGTGCCGCATGCCGGGTGGAGACGGAGGAGAGGGAAAGTTCGATTTTAACTACTGCAAAGATTGGTGGAAGGTAATGTCATAGTCAATCGTGAATCTATCTTATGCTAGCTATTTATTGTTTTTTAGAATTTGAAAACATGGGAAAAAGTGGTGACTGTGGCGATGGTAGTGGCAGCAGCTGTAGAGGTGTTTGCCCTGATTTGGGATGTACTTTCAGCGTAAGTTGAATAGAAGAAAAATTAAAGTTCTTTTTTCTATAAAGTACAAGTTTTTTTTAGGTGTGCATGCTGTTGTAAGTCAGCATTACTGACTCCGCTGACATTAGCCGCTTTTTGCGCGACTGTCGCTCTCGGGGTGGCCGTCGGCGTATACGGGTACAAGAACAAAGACGCGTTTGGTACGTTGTAAAGTTCAGCAGCATAGTTTTCTATTACAAACAAGAAATCGCTTTTACAGAAGGTGTAAAGGGTCTTGACGATATCAAAGGCAAGCTCAATAGTGAGGCAAGTTACTTTTCTGAATGCCTACTCAACAAAAAAGGACTTAAAGTCATTGGCGTTCTAAAGTACCTCTAGATGCGTCCAGATGAGCTAATTGCAAATCACTTCCTTATCTGTTAGGCGATTTTTAGCAGAAGTTATGAACCTCTGAATGCTCAAATCTGACAAATATTCAGTGCCACACGTTTAGAAATCAAATGCAAAAGTGCTTTTTGTTTGGTAAATGTGCTTTCTTAAAACCAGTAAAATCAACACCATGCTAATAACGCTCTCCCCTATACTTTAAAGCATATGCATCCACACGTTGATGACACTGCCGCGCAATGGGCGCGGTACCTTGAATTTTGATTTTTTTGTGCCCAATCGTTCTGATCTTTGTCCATACAATCAATTTAAGCTCAGAAGGTTTTCACGTTGGCCCCGCCCTTCTTTTGAACTCCACCCACTCCACTGCCTTCCGCAAGGAATTTTTTTGTGCTTAACTTGTATAGGAGGCGTCGCAGATGATTCCCAGAACCTCAAGCAGCTTTATTCCTGGCCCCGTCTCCGTCAGGCAGGCTCCGCTCCCTTATTGGCAAGCTCCGCCCCCTCTTTTTTCAGAATAGCCGGAATTTACGTACTCATAGATTTCAAGCATATTCCAGCCTTTTCTAAGGGGTGGGCGGAGCTGCCCCGCCCACTTGTATATTCATATTTTATATATATAGCTGTCCCGCCTGCCTGTATGCATACATAGCTACAGCCAGGCGTAGTATACGGAAAGATCTCGTCCACAGGGACAGACTTGGAAAAAATGGCTTGTCGTCAACCTGTTAGAACCCCAATTTCTTCACACACTTCAGCTGTAAAGAATCGTTTACTAGATGTGGAAGGTAAATTTGAACAGCTCGCGATTGAATGCCACTAGTTTGGAACCCTTCATTTGTCAATTTATTAGACGTCGTAAAGATCACAACGCAAAACGCGCAAAGAAAATTTGGCAAACTCTCACTTGATATTTGGCAAACGACAAAAAATGGTTTTGGTAGAGAAGCTTTATGAGCATGAAAGCTTCATCCAAACTTGGTGCAAGAATTCCAAATAAAAACATCCTTATTTCAATGCAGTTTGATTTTGTTTCCTGTACAGCAATCAATTTTCCAATTTTCAGGTCGGCAGCTCGTTCTGGTTAGCTGTTGCTGCCTTAGTACTTGCATTAGCTGATACGATACTAGGCTCTATAATGGGCTGTTTGGGTAAGAGCGGCTGCTAAGTAGATGACTTCGCCTATCATTTTTCATGTCGTGTTCGCAATAACAACCGAGTATGAACCAAGCATTTCGCACAAGCTGCATATCTTTGACTCTCAGTGTGTTTACATTCCTTCTCCAAGTCTTTAGTTCATTTTCATATCTGCTCGATTTGCTACTTTGTTCTCTTGTTTGAAACGTTTGTATCGATACAGATCCATTTGTGCCATAAGAATACAATGAGCTGGCATTTGAGTCTCATTGCATTGCTCTTTATTATGGCATTTTGATATCAAATAAATCATTGTACTTGTAACGACTGGTGAGTACACTAAGATTGCAAGTTGTTCCTATCTGGAATGCTGGCGGTTAAATTTGCACAGAAGTAAGCACTTCTACGCTAATCTAGTTGTTGAACTATTTCTTTCACCCTGTTGCGTACCGAGAAAAAACGCGGGGGAAGGGGCCGCCCCTCCCCTCAAGAACAGAAATGGGAAATTCTTGTAAGTTACTGAAATGAGTTATAAAAATGTGCAAATGACTCGTCCGTGCTTAGAAACAAGGGGCTGCAGCCACGCCTCCTCTTCCTAGATTTTCAGGGTCATAGACCCGCAAATATTTTAGTAGCATTCTAAAAAACACCACGTTCTTTTATTCAAAAAAAAATCTTGGTGCGCCCTCTTTTCGCGAGCGGTCCTGACAGGGTGTTCTTTGGACAAATAATCAGCTCATTAAGATTAAAGTAATAAACAGCTCAAGGTCAAAAATATATTATAATGTCATCCACTCAGAAATTAAGGTTCGTTCTCTTGTTGGCAACGGCAAAAGCGAGACATTAGCTCCTCCCACTTCTCACATCGAGCAGGAACCTAAGACCCTCTGGCAAAGCAATTTACTAGGGGATGAAAAGTTTTGCGTCAGCTGATATTTAGAAATGACGGAACCTACGGAAAATTCCAATGAAACATGTGACTAAAACTTATATGGCCATCAAAGATAGAGTCACTGAAGAAATATGTCATCCAGCCATGACTGTAGCGTGTAAAAAACGGCAAAAATGATTTTTTTGCATTTTTGCGCATTTTCCTCGAAAATCATAACCTTTCGTAGAAAGATCAGCACAAAAATGCCACCTTTAGAAAGGGCAGCTCAAAAAATTCTGGGAAACATGGTATCCAATTTTTCTGCAGCGTCTCAGATTTTTATTGATTTATTTTCGAAAATCACGAGTTTAAGTGGCTCTCCTATCCAAATTTTTTGCTCTAGAGTCTTTCGTCGTCAGAGAGTTACCAAGTTTTTTTTTAGAAAGTAGATGAGTTAGATGAGTTTTTCTACCTGGAGGTATTTTTTGTAAGTCAACACGTTTACAGGGAACAGTTACGAATTTTTCAAAACCAAAGCGACAAAAATTTTGAGTCAACCTGACATTCACTGCTTACAACATTGCCTCATAATTCATGTAGACCACCCATTTTCCACCTTATTTTTAGACTGACTCTAGAACCATTTTTGACAACAACCATTTCGTACTCTCGTTTCTACCATGACAACCAAACTCTCTTCATTCTCATCCATGCGACAATGCAATAGATATGGCTTACAGAAATAAAACCCTAGTTACCATAAATAGCAAACTGCGCCTGTTCCCGAGCCTTGGAAGGGTCCATTACTATTCAGAACGGCGAACTCGTTGGCGTCCGTTGTGTAGACGACGTCACCTTGATTTAATTTGTCGCTATTAATAGTAGTTAGACCTTAAAAAAAGAGTTCAAGAATCACACCTGGCTTAGATGTAACCCGAAGTTCTCTGAGTGGTTTCGTTGCTCCACAAGCCTGGCCCTTCACACAGTAACCGACTTGCGGAATTCGATACCATCCACCTCGGATAAGAGCATTGAGTTCGGTCAAGCTAGTGGTCAACTTCTGTGCATCTGAAAAATTGAAATAAAAAACCTCTTTCAGAAAGAAAATGCTACAGATAGAAATGTCTTACTTGCTGCAGCGTTCAACACAGCAAACAGAGGGACTATTTGAGGACAGCGAAGACTGATCTCGGCTCCTTGCTGGTTGTATGTAGCCATAGTAATCATTCTACCTGGTGAAGCTAAAGAAAAATATTAGCTAAATGGCTAACAGAGCTTCTTCTTTGACTGACGCTCCTGACGGTATCCATTAGACAGGAACGTCGAAATTGGTTGGATTTCAGTGTGGAATCGATGCCGATCGGCTGCTGGGTTGTAGAACCTTTGAAGAGGTGCAACATATGGAATAAACCAGATCTAAACATAGCAAACTATATTATATCAGAATATATCAGAAAGATATAGAGATTTGAGATTCCTCTGATTGCTTACGTTGCTTCCAGGTCCATTACCAAAAACGCGCCTAAAAGTAACGTTTCTTATTCTGCAAATGTACACTGTTAGTCGATCTATCTCAATAAGAACCTTTCAATTTCAATAATTTGCCCTCTTCCGCCGTTTCTTCCAGGCCAAGGTCCTCCACGATCGTTTACACTTCTACCGCCGAAGTCACTTCTGTCACCTCCTCCACCACCACCTCCTCGTCCTCCCCGGTCTCCGGGACTTGGTGCGAATCCACCTGGCTTATTACTCCCTACTGGCGCTTTCTAAAATAGAATGTCCCCACACTGTCCAAGTTCATGGAATCCTTACAGGCTGTCCTGAATTTGTTCCCGGGGGACCTAAGGAGAGTCCTACGGTAGCGAGAGCTGGAACAATATCATTTATTTGCACGAACGACGGAAATGTACTTACCCAAAAAGACAATTCCTCCTAAACAGCTGGACATGCCGCAGGAAATCTTCAGATGGTTTAAACTAAACCCATTATTGTGTAAGCGCATCATTATATACGAAGCTTCTCGAAATGATCTAAGAGATCATGGCTACTGCAGCAAATTTTCTTTGTCCTTGCTACTGAACTGAATATAATATGATAACGACGGCAGGAACAAATGAAGCAAAACCAGTGAAGCGTGAAATACTTGAGTCGCATGCGACACCTTCCTAAAGATTTATTTCTCTGCACATTTTACTATTCTGTATTACGAAGTGCAGTGTTGATTTCACTTCGAAAATGAAGTAGTGCGCAACATGCATATTAGATCAATGACTCGACTTTATACAGAGTGTGCCAAAAAAATTTGCCTACTCTACGTTTGTTAAATACTCTCTTACAGAGTACGGCACAGGTGGCTTAGCGAGCGGGATATCGTTTTTGGGGGAATAAGCAAAAGAGATACCGTTTTTGCGGAAGAGTATAACGCTTTCTTTCGATCTGCCGCCGGCACGCTGCCGGCGTGCCGCCAGCAAATAAACAAAGGCTTTGTTTACAGCGAGGTGAAGATGAAATAGCACCAAAATAGGTGTGTAGATGGGCAATGGGGATTTGTGAACAAGTGTGAAAAATTATGAAAAAATCATGTGATCTGAAGGCGTGCTAAACTTTTTTCGGAGTTAGGTGGCTTTCAAGCCACCTGGAAGCCACCTGAGGTGGCTTGGGAAAGAAAAAGTCATAAATTTTCCCACCTTCACATAATTTTTCTACTTTCTTTACAAAAATTTCATCCACATCCCAACTACAAATTGGTTCCAAACCGCCTCGCCTAGTTATAGCCCTTTAAATTGTGAATGGCGGCGGAAAGGATGCTCTAGGCGCGTATTGCTGCGCGCTGGGTAATGCCGCCAATCCGGAGAATATGGATATCATCGCGTGTGTTTGATGCTTTTTTGACGTTTTTTTCCTGCTTTGCTTTGTTCCGTTCATTTTCATGTATTTTCTCTTCTGATATCTCGTGGCGGATGTCGTAATTTCATTGTGAAGTCAAAGGAGACTTCGTTCTTTGCATTTCAACTAGCCACCTCGTGCCGAGCCCTGCTCTCTTATCTTAAAATCTTTCAAATGGTTTAGATATCATCTTGTAGAGCTGCCTTCAACTTAGATTTGAGTACAAAGCAAGTTACCTATCTCTTTTCATTATAGGCTTACGGAGGAACTCGTGGGGCCACTGTGAAATATTGTTCGCTCAAAAAAATCTGGACTTGTGTAATATCTGTTCCAAGACGAAGGCGGTCGCCCAAATAGGCTGAAAACATGCAAAGCTGCTGCGCGCGCGCAATTGTCAACCACAGGGCGCGCGCACGCTCGGTCAGCGGCCATTCATGCGAGCGTGCGCGCGACCCGTGGTTGACAATTGCCCGCGCGCCGCGTGCGCGTCAGCCTTGCATGCTCTCAACCTATTTGGGCGACCGCCTTCGTCATGGAGGAGATATGAAGGTATTATGCATGCTAATTACTACATAACTTTTCGCCCGTTTGCAGAGCTTTTAATTCTCGGAATGACACAAATCAATTGTCAGGGGTAATCGGCATAACCTGTGAAAAAAGCGCTACTGCCAATGCAAGCGTAGGTGCGATGGGGTGAGTAAAAACTCACCCACCCCCCTTCATCTGGAACGGACGAAAAAAATTTTCCAAGGTGAGGAATTACTGCACATGAAAATGCATTTTTAGAAGGATCGAACGCGGAATCTTATAAAAATGGTTTCGACCGACAATAACATGGGCAGCGGACAATGACAGATATTTAGAGGCTTGAAAGGTGCTGATTTACTTGAAAAATATTGATGTGAATGATGCTAATAAGAGACTTGCATTGATCAAGATTTTTTTTGCAAATAAGTTGTTATGTCGGTATTTGTGTAGTACAATAAAAGATCGTTGTTTATTTGTGTTCGCTTATAACATAAACATATAGAGTCCAGAACAATGATAAAAATAGTATAAATGATGTCAGGAAAAATTTCTGGGGTAGTACAGTTGAAGTCACAATGTTGGCCATATTTTAGGAAAGTCAGTTTTGAGTCAGTATAACTTGAGTAAGTTGCAAAATGTCATCTTGCGAGAGTATAGGCGTTAGTAAGGAACCTTTCCTCTATAACATAGAAAAAAAAGTAGATCCCAAAAAGAATTCCTCTTAGAGTCATTTCCTCTTAGAGTTATGAACTCGCAAATATAGCAGAAATCACGTCTCCAAAAATCGATTTTTCGCAAGTTGTGTGCTTGAACGAATTTGAGTGGGAAGGGTATAGGTAGATTCTACTCATCAAGAGCTCTCGATTGATATATAGCATGTGGGGGTCCCATGTTTTTTAAGCCCTGCGAGGGTGGGTGATCAGCCTCAGTTAAGGGTGATCACCCCCCGCCACCTTAATGCATTGGAGAGGCGCCGGCGCTCTGGAAACTACATCACCTGACAAAAATATTGAACCTCACAAATTATATATTGTTGTATAGCTTGTAAAGGCCAAAATCCGAATCTAGCTTAAAATTGGCTTCAGCCCATTTATCCAAGAGTTAAACCGAGCTATTGCAAGTTACTGAAGTTATACTAAATGAAAGCTGACCTTGCTTTAATAGTCAATATCGTAGTTCAACTTTACTGCCCTAGGAATTTCTCCTAACATCAATTATACTATTCTTATCACTGTGCTACACTGTATATGTTTATTGTGCTTCAAGTGGACACAATGGACACAACTGAGCAACGAATTTTTTTTATTGTACTCCATAGATAAAGACTTACGGATTTATTTGCAACAATAATTCCATAATTATCACGGAGTCTCTTACTAACATTATCTACATTTGTAAGTTCCAAGCAAAACTTCATTCAGCATCTTCTAAGCCTCTGAGTATCTGCCAGTTTCCACTGCTCACGTGATTGTCGGCCGAAATCATATTTCAACATTACACATTTCACTCAACCCACCTAAACATGCATTTTTACCGAAAAGTGGTGTATAAAAATAAAATAACATTTAAAATCGAAAACAAAGTACTTGTAAACATTTTACTAATTATATCCCATACAAATCCAATTCAGAAAATTTGACTATTTAAATTGGATAATTTTATGATTTTCACCATTTTTAAACCCCCCCCCCCCCGGTCGACGCCGCAATTTTTTTACTACCTCCCCCCCAAGTCCTAGACACCCTTCACTTTTGAGGGTCAAAATCAGTCAAGACACCCTTCACCTTGGAGAGACCCAGCTCACCCCATCGCACCTATGAATACAAGTTTCATATTTACAATCAGCGAATCTTATTAAGCTGATGTAGAAGTTTTCAGCCTCTCTAGTAATTTTTTAGGAGTAAAATATGACCCTAAATGACGCAAAACCCCCCTAAATGTTCCTATCGTAATCCTACAGTAACGTAGAGCGGTATTCGCTCCATCTGTAAATCTAAGTTGTACCCAGCCCTATAAAATGATAAATAAAACTTTTTGAAAGACTTCATGACAGGCAAGTTGTTAACAAACAAAGAGTAGGCACATTTTTGAGACATCCTGTATTGTGTCTCAAATGGTGGTATCGAATAAAATACTCGTTTGTCAGCGAACACTCCATCACGTAAAGTATCAAAGAATATCAATATTTAATTACACTGATTTACCTATCATTTGTACAATAATCTGTGTATGCGGCAGTGTTTAATAACAACAAATGAAGAACATACAGTCAGTACCATAAGTAACATAAAGGTCCTGTTCCTGTGCCTGCATAGTGTATATTCTTATTCAGCGTTTCGAACTCAGTATCATCCGAAGTGTAGACGATGTCTGCTAAAAAGATCCACATTGCTCTAAGCGCTCGAAAAATTTCGAAAATAATCGATAAGCGTAAACTCACAAAGGCTTTTCTTCGTATGAAGCTCTCTGAGTGGCTGCGTAGCTCCACAGTTCTTTCCCTTGACGCAATAACCAACTTGTTCCATCTTATACCATCCCTCGTCCGTAAGCTGGTTAAGCACTTTCACATCAGTGGTCATTTTTTGACATTCTGAGAGGGCGTCTACTATTCCATGGGTAGATAGAAGAAATAGCTGCTCACTTGTTTCAGCGTTGAACGCAGAGTAAAGAGGAACCAAAAAGGGGCAGTGACGACGAATCTCGTATTTTTGCTGGTTGTATAAGTTCACTGTGATCATTCGGCCAGGGGAGGCTAAATGAATTTTTTCATCAGTTGAGAAACCAAACCCTAAGATGACTGACGTTCATTATGATGGGGATCGGACAGAAATCTCGAAATTGGTGCGGGTTCGGTGTGGTAAAGGTGTGTCCTAGTCATTGTGCTGTAGAATCGTCGCAGTGGCGAGACATACGGTAGATACCAGTGCTAGATTCGTGGCCATAAGATTTTGAAAATCATGAGCTGATATCAAATATCAACAACCCATCAATAATTTTTGCAAATTTCTCTTTCATACTTTGTTCGCGATAAATCACCAATCGTATGAGGAGTTTTTATAATGAAAGAAATTTCTGAGACAACTCACTCTATCGTCATCGTCAAGATCGGGAAATCTGAAAAAATGTAAACCTTAAAATCGACAAGAGAAATGGTACTCCTTCATCAACTTGCATGTACACAACAACTACCTGATAAAAGGACGTGGACCATCGCCAACTCTAGGAGGATTAAATCCAGGAGGAAAAACAGGTTTTCCTGAAAGCCAAATATTGTTTTGAAGTAAAGGTCAACAAAGAATTCGCGTAACTCGAAAGTTTCGAGTCAGCAGGTCGTATGCGAGGACTCAAATGATCAGTAACAGGTACCATGACTTCTATATTTGGACCCCATGACTCCTGATAAACGATTGCAAACTTCTTAAACTACGACTACTTCCAAAAGCAAACCAAGTTACTCTTACCCAGCTCGTCCCCTTCTTACCGAAACCACTTTGATTTAACTTGCCTTCTCCAGGACTACCTCGGAACCGATTGTTCTTGGTATTCTCGTTCAAATCATCTGCATAACTGAGAATTTATTGAAGAATCGCTGGTCACTTTCTACAGATAAACCTGGTGGTTGTGGTAAATCGCTCCTTACATTTGCCTGAAAAGTAAGTCTTTTTTACTCCGATTTCAGTAAAACCTTTGGACATCTCACTTCAGGATTTATTCCAGGTGGACCTGCGTGAAGGCTGACTCCAAGACCTACAATGTTCTAATCCTGAGCCCTTGGCGGCAAGACTGGTAACGCTTACCTAGCAGAAGCAGTTTTCTCATAAAACCGTACATTGGCATATGAGTATCTCAATTTCGAAACTAGAAAATTGACAAATATTAGGTCGTTCCGAAAGTGCTTTCCGTTTTTTCAACTTATCACAAAAATACGTGAAATGAAGATAGGGAAACGGTTCAGGTACTGTCCGACGCAGCTTTTCTTCCTCTTTTCAACTGTCATCGCTTGTGTGTTTTGTGACTTCGAAAAAGTGAAGACTTCTGAAAAAGCTATCTAAAAAAATAATGAGAAGCCGGCTGAAATTGCCAAAAAATTGCATTGCATTGCACTTTGTTCACTCTATCTGACTGCTATCAAAGCTTCTCCAAAAGTTAAGAAAGAAGATAGTGAAAAATTGCCAAAGTTGGACATGGTAAAAACCATAGGTCCGAAATTTCGGTCATTATCTCACTGACCACAATAGCAAGCGGTACAGTAGTATGACAATTGAAAAGAGGAAGAAAAGCTGCGTGATAGTGCCTGAAGCGTTTTCCTGCCTTCATTCCACGTGTTTTTATGATAGTTTGAAAAAACGGAAAGAACTTTCGGAACGACCTAATATAATAGAAATCATCGGCTATGGTTGTGTGTCTCGTTTTTCTCACTCCTTCAATCACTTTTGCAGAAAGCACCGGAATTGTTCAAGTGTGACTGGTCAAAAGTTTAACGAAGAAAAATTTTGACGATCTGAACTATAAAGAACTAGCATACGGAGTGTATTTCCTTGCTCTCTGTGAGCTCAGAACTACGGATCTAATGAGATGTCAGCTGAAAACATTCGAAGGAGCAAGGAAAAAAATTAGAGTATTTTAAGTATTTTAAATATTTTTTTGGTAAATTTATCTCTATAAGAACCTTGAGCATATTAATATTAGGGTGTCTCATAATTTTTTACCGTTTTTACCCTAAACATTAGCATTTCTCGAGAAGTGAGGCGTCTACAAAGTATGCAAATACATGATTGTAATTCTGTATGTATGGGTAATATGGTCACATGCGTGGGAGGAGCTGAGGACGTCTAGGGGCGGAGTTTGCCATTTTAGATCACTGATTTTTTCTTTATTTCTAGCCACGAAATAAATCCGGGTTATGTACAATTGGATACGCGATGTATCAAGCATATGCTAGGATAAAGGGGGAGATTTTTTAGATGATTTGGGGCGGAAATATGATTTTTAAGAAAAAAGTTCGTTTTCGAATACTATAAGATTTCAGCCCAAAACTTCACGTGGTAGGAGTTAGGCAGACTTATGATAGTCATCTTGTAGGCTTGATTTGCCCTGTCGAGTGATTACTCAAGCCACATCAGATGAAGGGAAGATGCAAAAATACGGCAGTTGTAGTAAAAAAAGGTTAAAAAAATTATGAGACACCCTAATGAAATAAAAATAAAGTGAAAATAAAACATTTTGTGCTTTGCAAAAGTGATCATTGTAGAAATTCGCTTCGAGATCTTCGTCTGTATTCTACACCTACTCGCAGGAATCAGTAAAATTGGCGATATAAGAAAAATCAAAGCATTCTCATTTAAAAGCTATAAGAGCTTTGCAACATGAGTTGACTGATACTTGGTTCAGAAATGTAGTGAACCTTCCAATAAGGAAGATTTGCCTCGTTCTTGATCAAAAGTCAGATTAAAATGGCCGTTCGAGAAAAGATTCATTATGCTCGGTTATGTGATTATTTGTAATCATTCTTCACAATGAGATAGATCGAGATACCCTGATTTTGAGAAATTCAAAGAACAGGTAAAAAATCAAAACAAACTTACAAAGTAGATAGATTCACTGGCATCGCTACTGACTTTTGGGTGACTTTATGCTGAAAGACTTCATTATTAGCCGAATTGTGTGTCAGCAATCAAAATTCTGCAGTTTGGACAAATGTGTCATTGGGAACCTGTTTAATGAGAAAGAAAATGTAACAGTAAAAGTCTGAAAAACCTGTGCAAGAGCCAAATCGGATGATTGACTTGTATTGTTCTTTTCTAAATTGGTTTAGAGGCTTACCTTTACGCGCATGTATCATCAAATATACCTTGTTTGCATTATGAGAGTTTTCTATCATTACGTGCGAAAGATATGTTATATTGAACAGCAATTTGTATTCATCTATGTTTGTATGCTTGCTTGTATGTTCCAACCAGGAAATCCTATTAGATTGGCTAAAACTGAATTCGATCACTCTTGAAGGGTCATAGCAACGTTAACAGAAAAAACACAGGGTGTCCCAAAAGTATGTATACACTATGTATACACTGTTTGATCGTTGATATCACTTTTCCCAGGAATTTTTTTGCCTACTCAGATACCATTTTGTAGAGCTGGCTCCAACTTAGATTTGCGGAAGGGACCGAACCACCGATGGCTCTTCACTACTATAGAATTACGGCAGGAACTTTAGGCTTACAGCGTCATTGTGGATTAGTCGTGTTTCAAGAAAAAAGGTTCCAAAAAATCTGAGAAGCGATGCATCAGGGTTTCCACACGCGCTGATTTTGTTACTCAACTTTTTACGAGTTTGCAAAGCTTTACAAGTAGTGTGATCATGATTTCAAGGCGCATTGTGAAAACAGCTACTGCGCTTTACTTGGCATAGCTTATGAAGAAGCATTGCGGTTATGCAAGCATCATATTTGGTTGCTTGGCTTAGCCTAGTATTAACCCATTGACGACGATATGGACCACCGGTGGCCCACACTTCCTGAAAAGTCATATTATTTGTAAATCTGATAATTTTCCCACCTGTCATTATTTCTTTCATTTTTTTGCACTCTTTGGACTTGTAGGCTCCGCCGTTCAAGAAAATGTCCATAGTTATTCGCAAAACAACTTTGCATTTCGTAAATAACCATAAAACCTTCCCACACCGAAAGTGTTGTGCAATTTGGCATCGTCTCACAGCGCCGCCACGCAAAATTAGGCGTCGTCGTCAATGGGTTAAAGATACCAGGTTGTTTGATTTGCTTTCTGAGGCGGAAGGGCCGGCCCCTAGGCTTACAACCTTTCTCGAAGCCTCTACCGTGATTCCACAGTAATCAGGAGTTATCGGTGGTTCCCTCCACACTCTAAATCTAATTTAAAACCAGCTCTAAAAAGTAGTATCTACAGGTAGGCAAAAGGTTCTTGGGAAAAGAGGATCAAGCAGTGTATACATACTTTTGGGACACCTTGTAAATCAGGAGAAATTAAAAAATGTACCCTGTTTGAAAAGAAATTTTCTGATGACAATGTGCCCCGAAGAATCTAGATACACTAATATTTTTGATTTCTTTATGGTCCTTAGATATAGGTTTGGAATTTTTAGCTACAAAAAGTCGTCTCACAGCGCCGCCACGCAAAATGAGGCGTCGTCGTCAATGGGTTAAAGATACCATGTTGTTTGATTTGCTTTCTGAAATTGCACGATAAAGTTTTCGTTGTTATTTGCTAGTGAAAACTTGTACTACTTATCCCCAGACACTATAAAATTATTATTCCTGAAAGCTATTAGATATCGCTGAATGACCGGTGATAGTTGAAGCTCAAAGCTCACATCACACAGAAAAAACATGACTAGATACAGCTAGCTAATTTGTAGAGATTTGCTTGTCGAAACGAATTGCCTTTGACGACTTTTTGGCAAAAAATATGTACTAAGAGATTCAGAACAATTTACCGGCACTTCTTTCATGGTTATTTTCCGCACAAATTCGGCGCTTCTGACACATATGAACTTAACATGCATATAGATTCCTTCAGTCATGATTCAACCTGTTCGTAATTCACAGCATATTACTAGTCAGCCCCTACTAGGTAAGAAGTCCAAAATTCCTGATGTTGTTGGGACCTGGTATGTGAAGTTTCGAGCAGATTGCAAATAGCGCAGCGCATCTTTCTTTTTTTCCATCCCAAAAACGATTACCATGAAAAATGTTGAATTATGTTGTCGGGTCATGTTCTCAGTTCCCCATAATGATGCAAGTGTAGGAACTGTAGAACTTTCTTCACCATAGAACCCTCACTCTCTTCCCGATCCATCATAACTCTTGCAATACCTGTACCTAATACCGATCTTATCTGCACGTTTCCATCTACCGTTCATCAAACGTTCTGTTCCTTTTTCTATGCTTATTATCATCAACCACTCGAATGACTGTCACCTAATTGAAAATTGTTCAATTATACAGTATCGCTCGTAATTTGCGAAAAAAATCGCCGTACTTCGCCGAAGTTCGCCGAACTTGGCGTTGCATTGCCTTACTTGCTTCAGAGTAGACGAATTCTGAATCTAAAAGCACCATTCAACTCAAGTCGACAAGATGCATCTTTTGATCCATAGAAGGGTCTGTTTGGGCGCGACAGTCAGTCATATTTTATGGATCCTTCCAGATTCTTGCTTACGGTGGGTTACACGGCGTGCTAAATCATTGCACAACGATCAACCTACCGTAAGCGGAAACTTGGTAAGATCCATGGAATTTGACCGATTGTTGCGCTCAAACAAAAACTTTTCTATATCAGAAGATGCACCTCCTCGAGCTGAGTTGAATGATGGTTTTGGATTCAGAATTTGTCTAACAAGCAAGATATGGTGATATAACGCAAAGTTGGCGAACTGAGGCGGAGTGTAGAGATTTTTTCACAAATTACGAGCTATTGTACCAAATGAAAGTCGAGTAAGCGTTCTACAATACATCCTTAACTTCTTGTGTGGTATGGAGTGAGTCATTCACTGCAATTTGTTTAGTCAAGAGAAAAACTGCGTCAACGCAAATGGTTTATTGGCCATATATGAAGCCGACTGCAAGTCTGAGAATATCAGAAAACGGGGCAAAGCTTCAGAAAACCTGATAACCTGATTGTGTCAATATATTGTATATGTAACATGGCAACGACGAGTCATTTAGTGAAATTGTGTCACTGAACCGAATACGGAAAAATGGCGTGGAGTACGAACACAATGGAATGCGGCTGTGTGCTACAGAAATACGACGCCGTCCGAAGCAGTACAGACACAACTGGCTAGATCAAATACATCATTATGAAGCACAATGAAATGCGAGACTCAACAATGTAAAACTACTGCTTATACATAAATTAGTACCTAGTGTGCAAAAGGTGCAGACCGTACATGTCAAGGCACGTATTGAGAGGACAAGTAGCACGACTTGGAAGGGTTATACGTTGGCAGTGATCAAGCGTAAACCCATTAGATGAAAGAAGAAGAAAGTAGAATAAAGTGGATAGAAAAGAAAGATGAGAGGAGAAAGAGATAACGGCAGTTTGTGAACATTATTATAATCGAAATCAGATAGAGAACAAAACTCATGCGGTGCTATACCAGCTCGGACATGAATAATATAGATGAGTGCTCTGTAAGATACTATCCTCTATTCGTTGGGCAGACGTTATTTCTGACCTTCTTGTTCCAATTTTACCAAGTTATAGCACTTAGTTGGCAATGCATCTCGAATTTCTTCCAGATTTCGAACCTTCAAGAGAAAAATTCTGTTAAAGCCCAAACCTAGACGCTATTATTCTTCTACTCCTATTTACAAGATCATGAAAGCACACAGTTTGCAGCAATTCAGCTTTATCAAAGCAACCTACCTCTTTTGAGAGAGAATCGATTTCATTTTTTATTTGCGTTATGCGCCTATCTTCTTCTGTTTTTGACATCTTATGTTGAGGAACCTAAACTTTTTATCGATAAAGAAGCTTGGACAAAATTGAAAAGAATTTTCATACCTGATTTTCGATGTCAGCTTGAGTCAGCAACTGGTCTAAGCTGTCGAGTTCAGTTTCTAACTCGTCAAGTTCGGCATTATTTACTGACTCAAGGGCATCTGCAACAAACAGCTAGCTATTTTTACGAAATATGATAACGAGCTTACTTACTTAATCGATCAATGATTTTTTTGATCTGATCCGCTTCTCCAGCAATAGTCGCATTCGCATCTCGAGCTGCTTTCTCCGCTAATGAAGCTTTTCGGACAGCCTGAGAGATCCCATTAGTTAAAAAAAAGACACTTTTAATCTTAGTTCGCTTACCTCTGTTGCCATCTGCTTATCAGTCTCCGCTTGAGCTTTGTAGCTATCCAGAGTCGAGTTCGTTTCAGCCAGCTCTTCCATCAACTGATCCACATCGGCATTTAAGGTTTCCGCCGACTTCCTTGTTTGCATGGTCAGATTTTGGAAAGCATTTGCTTTCTGAAAGTAATAGAGATTTTACATGCCCATATATAGACTACAAAAGCGTTGCTTTACCTCATTAACAACTTTAGCGTCCTCGCCAGCCTGCTGGGCAAGTTCCTTGGCCTGAGCAGCATCGGCAGCAGCAGAACCGATGGCATTTTCTGCCTCGCTGGTGACTTGCTCTGCTTTCTTGATGGCCTCGTCGATCTCATTCAATTTCCCAAGCTGTTCCACAGCCGCAGCTTTGGACTTTTCTACTCGCTCATTGAACTCTGTAAATGCAAAAATCACATAAATCAGTCATTATATAAATAAGACTTGCCGTTCAAAGTTTCCAATGTTCGCTCGGCATCTTTTAACGTATTCTCAGCCACTTTCAAAGCAGCATCAGCTCGAGCTCTGGCAGCGTCGACATCGGCCAGTAATGCATCAGATACCTGAACAAATTTTTCGAAGCCTCCGACAAACTAAATAAAAATTGCAAACCTGCTGTTGATCCTCAGCGCTCTGCAGTTCATTCCTAGCTTCGGCAGCTGCACGTGCGGCCTGCTCCAGCACTTCCTTGTTGTTTTCCGCTTCCTTATTGGTATTTTCTATGGCTACCTTGGCATCGTCACTTATCGCTTTAGCATCGGCTTTCAGCTAAAAAAAGTATTTTTGAATTCTGAGGAAGGTGGAATGAGTCACTCCATCGCCTTCACAAACCTGTTGGGGGTCAAAATTTGGAAGGCGAAGGCTCTCCACCGCAGTCAGTGCCTCAGCCGCTGCCTGATTGGCGTCCGCCGCTGCTTTCTTCTGCTCTTCAGCCAACTCTAGCGTCCTATAACCATATTTTCACATTTCATAACAGGTCACTATGTCCAAGCATGAATAAGATACTGTACCTGCCCAGGGTCTCGTTCAACTGTGCTTGTCGCTCTTTCATTTCGGCAATTTGCTGCGACACTTGCTCACCTAAATTATCTAACTTGATTTTGTCTTATTTATACGGCTAAAGCCTCAAACCTCCGTAGATAGCATCTCTTGCCTCCTTATGTGCCTTCTTTGCGTTAGCATTCGCTTCTTCTGCTAATTTTTCGATGTCCTTGGACTGCTGTTCATGCTTGTCCGCTTCTTCTCGGGTCTTTTGGGCAAGATTCGACATCTAAGAAACCCTCATAATGTACTACAACGTTAAAATGCAGCAAAAAAGCAACTGACCTGCTGGCTCTGTTCTCCATATTTCTTGCTTGCTTCCTTAGCCAGCTCCCACTGTGTTTTACCTTCAGTTTCCAAGTAATGAAGAGCATTTTCCAGTTCATTCCTAGCTTGCTCTAAGAAAAACTGGTATAAAAACCGAAATGGCACGCTAAGATCATTTTGACAATACCATTGATGATCTTCCACCGTTGTAGTCCGACCTCGGTCTGTTCAACTTTTCCACGTGCTGCATTCATCATTTCATCCACACTCTTCACATTTGTGAGGGCATCGGCTATGTCTTTTCTTAGCTGAGCCACTTGGCCAACCAAACCGGAGTCATCGGATTCTAAAAGAGGGTTAACCGTTCAATGGATAGGTGGAAAATTCCAGGATCCCTGATCAACTGACCAAGCTTTTGTGTCACTGTAGCTGCTAGATCTTGCACATCCTTGCTGACTTGCTTCACCCGATCGTCAAAGTCGGTATCGTTAACCTAAATCGAAATTTTTCAAACTTCAAGTGCATAACCATTTACGTTGTCCATACCGGAGCAGGGTTTTCAATAATCTCTTTGAGAGTGTTGTCCAGAAGTTTGACGCTTTCACGGAAAGCATTTACTCTGGTCTGAATCAACGTATAACAGTCATCACAAGGCAGACATCCAGACTTGATGTCATAGCGATTCTCAACGCACTGATCGCAGCGACGACCTTGGATGTGGTCACGACACAAACATTGTCCTTTAAACATATTAATCACCAAAAATGACAAAACAAAGTGAAAAAACCCAATTTTTCTCAAAACCATACCGGTGTTGACGTCACACTGTCTGCTTTCGCTACCGATGACCTCGCAATCGCAAGATTGGCAACCATTCGGCCCAAATCCGAAGTGATAAGGAGCACACATATCACATCTACAATCGGACGATTTTTCTCAGAATTGCAATAAAATTAGCCTGGTGACTTACCTTCGTCCAGTCACACCAGGTTTACATTTGCAAACACCAGTGTTCAAATCACAAGTAGAGTCTTCTGATCCAAGAGGATCGCAACCGCATTGTTGTGCACCCACACCGGAGCTGATGTTGAAGTAACCATGCTAAAAAAGCGATTTTAGAGAAACTAGTTCCAAAATTGGAAATTAAGCTTGCCTCAGGTTGATCACAATGGAAACCAATGATGTGTGGTAAGCAATCGCATTGACCATTATCTTGCGAACACTCCAAAACAGTATAATCGTGATTTGGACGACGTGTTCCAGGTGCAAAACAACTAAAAACAATGATTTGCTTACGACTCAACAGTGCAGATCATTTTTATTCACTTGCAAGCTTTACAATCTCCCTTCGGATCCAGTAGAGCATCACCCCAGTATCCCGGTTTGCATTTCTCACAGTTGAACCCGTAAGTGTTGTAAATACACTTCTTGCATTCTCCGGTAATTCTAAAATAGAGCTGATTATTCTAGGCCGTGCGAAAAGAAGTTCTAACAGACTTGTCGCAGTTCCCGATAGAATTTGGATCGATGTTTCCAGAGCATTCACATTCTTTGCAAGGAATACCTTCTTTAGGGTTTCCAAAGTAGCCATCTGAGCATTCGTCACATCTGCAAAAAATTGCTCTGAGCTCAAGGCGGAAGGAGCCCGGTTGTGATCAGGAACTTTACCTTCTTCCTGTATAGCCAAGAGGACATTCTGTACAAAGAACATCGCCGTCGGTATGAAGTATACAAGGACCATCTTCAGGACATGGGCATTTCTAGAGAATGAGAAATGCTTGATAAATAGGCGTAGGGTAGGCTTTGGCCATACTTTACCCGTGTAACCGGTGTTACCAGTGTTACTCGTGTCATGTCACCAGTATTACTCATGTTACCGCTTATAATGTGTTGAATAATAAAATGATCGCAATACAATTTTAAAACGCAATATTGGTGAGTACCACGAGTAACATTGGTAGCACCGGTAACACGGCTAACACGGGTAAACTATGGCCAAAGCCGGAGAGAAGATAACTTCTCAGTAAAATGGAACCAGCTATATGTTCCCTGACTTGTTCAATTATGCGATAAACCCCTACCGAGCAATCGTCTTCAGTTCCTGTCAGAGCATTACCGTAATAACCTCGAGCGCATCGTTCACAAGTGTCACCAGCTGTGTTGTGCTCGCAAATACAAGCTCCTGGAAGATAATTTGGCTTGTGTTAAGTTTTACAAAGGTACTGTAACAAATTCTGTTAATCAAATTACCGCTCTCTGCGTCACAACTATCCGAATGTCCATGACAATCGCATTTGATGCAACGATTGAATGGTCCTCCGTACTTTAGTTCACGCCGATAGCCAGGAGCGCAAGATTCGCAGAATTGGCCAACGAAGCTGCATAGAATTTAAAGAATAAATTTTACAGACAGAATAAAGGAGAAATTTTACCCATTCAAGCAATCACAGTGTTCAACCCAGTTAGCAGGCTTAGGGTCAGACGATGGGGCTAGACCAGCTGTGCCGAGATGAACGTTCGACAAAAATCCGACATCTGTGAAGTGAAAATTGCGATAAGTGAGTCAAAACAACGATAATTTTGGCAATTTACCCTGGTGTGAATATGTTCCCCTGATTTTCAATGCCGTAACATTGGACAGAATTCCTATAAAATCCAGTTCATTCAAGCGTGGATGCCATTGGAACTGAGGATCTGCATGGATACGAAAACGATATTCCTGGAAATTTGTTGTCAAAGAGATGGTTCTTCAAATTAGGCTAAAAAGAATAAGAGCTGCACCTGGTTTTCGGGAGAAGGAGTTGGATTATCTTGAGCAAAGATGGGAAGCGATAGTTCTTGACCGTCTCCGCCAACGATGACAATATCTCTACAAATAATTTATACTAAACAGTAAATGGAAGATACGACGAGTTCGTCTGGCCACCTACTTGACGCTTGGTCTGGCTCCTTGTTTTGTGACACGTAGATTGAAAGTGAGCAGCTGATTATAAGAGCTGCGCTGATCGCCAAGAAATTGTTCCGGAGCAAGGAAATGAACAGGTGCCTCGTCAACACTCGATGCCTTGAAATTTGAAGAAATAATATACGCTCTCGAATTTATAAAACATGAAGTTGCAGCTTACCGCTACCGCGTGGTCCAACTCTGCCCACTGTGCGTCCAAAAGTCCATGATGCGACTGTGCAGACCATTTCTCTTTGTCTAAATCATCAAGTTTAGGGTGATGCCTACTTAACCTATAATTTTACAAACTACCTGTTTCGAACTCCGAACTGATGTTCATAGCATAATATCCAGGCGCTGTAGCGCAGATAGATGAATGGCCATAGCAGAAGCATGGAGTGCAACCGAACTATAACGCAAGACTCAGATACTGTTTAAATTCTGTAAAGGACACAAAAAATTACCTGATTGTCCACGGAGAGGTCGAAATATCCAGGCTTGCACTTGTTACACTGACGTCCCTCCACATTTGACTTACAGAGGCAAGTACCGGTAATCGCATCGCAGTGTGGATGGTTGGCGTGTGATCCAGCCACTTCGCATCCGCAATCTCTGGAAATTCCTATTTTTATGAATTTCTAGGACGAAAACGATATAGTCATGGCTAAGTGGTTACACCCTAAGTTTTTTGCAACTCACTTGCATCCATTGGGTCCGAACTCGAAGAAACCATCCATACATTGGTCACAGTATCGTCCACCAACTCCGGGCTTACAATGACATTGCCCGGTATTGTCACATTGTTGTGACAATGATCCAACCTGTGATGACAAGACTTAGAGAGTAATCAAATGATCTAATCTATAAAGTAGTTACCTCATTACAGCCGCATGGTACGCAATAGTTTTCTCCTTGACGGCGCCAATGATTTGCCGCACAATTTTCGCAATGAACACCCTAAAAGCTTCTTGATTACTGAAAATGGTCTACTTTCGAAATTAAAGCTTACGTGAGTATTGCCCTGGCAGTCAATACAATGTCCTCCGTGACCAGTGGTTTCGAAGAGTTCTTGGTCAAAGAAGCAACGGTTCGACAATTGCGAGCAGTTACAAGCTGCAAAATACACTTTGCCATTTGAGAAGTGAATGTTGTTCAGGCTTGGGAATGATTTTCATGAGGAAGCAGAAATTGAATAATAAGCATGGAGGTAACAAGCAAACTAACAAGGATTCAAAAAAATTTCACATCTAACGATCTTGCGCCAATATTTGTTCGAAATTTATTGTTAGGATTTTTCTTGTACTTTTTTACTTTGCCGACGTCTCCAAAACTGATTTTAAGACCAAGTGCAGAATATATGTGACACATAACCAGAATATCAATAAGATCACGTTGATGCATAATTGATATGCTTATTAGAGCAGCGGTATGTATAAAAACCAAACATATTCGATAGAGGAAGCAGGCCCTACAATATGTTGTTAAAACAATTTTGGAAAGTTCGATACACGAAAATTAGGAATTAGAATCTATAAAATTTTTAATGCCCAAAAATCGGATCTCTGTTCAGAAACATCCTACAAAACTCCAACTTGCCAATTACATATCGCATCAGCCATGCATACGTACGATTACTTTATTTTTTTTTCTTCGTGGGTAGAAGCTGAGGAGATAAAATCCCGTACGTTTCAGCAAAATCAATGCTGGGCTGTCCCGACATAGTTCCATACCACGAGTCTTTGGAAGTATACTCATATTTAACTTTTCTCGAGCGTTAGTTGTCAAGAAATATCAAACTTAACATAAAAAATCCAAAAAAGACATTTTCGATTTTTTGTCTGTTTCAATTTTCAATTCCCACTTACGAAAAAAAAATACGGTAAGTGTACTTACGAAAAAAACTTATATGTATAGTATGTGCTTGACCAAGTTGGGAGTTCACAGGACCTTTCTAAACGGAACTCTAATTTTTGGGTACTCAAATTTTTCTAATTTTTGTCCCGCCAACTTCACGTACATCAAATCTTTCGCGTTTGTTCAGATAATATCTTATAAAGCTTGATTTCCTCTATAGAATGGTGTACCTCATACATTTTTATATCTTCTCTGCCGCATCAGGATAAAGAACATGCATTATTTATGCATCAACCATAACAAGAAATCAGTCATAGAGTAAGAGAGATACTTCCAATTAGCATGGATGAAAGCAACAGATTGGTTACATTTCTGCTAGAGTGAAAGCGACAAAAATTCTGATGGATGCTGGAATTAATATTAGCCTACCGATGCATTCGTTTGCCTCATTAGCGGTACCGGGTCGCCATGGTCGATCATTGTAAAACGGCAAACATTGATCACAGTCAGCTCCTTCAATATCAATCCATTAGAATAAGGAATACGTAGAGATTTCAGAGTTTTTTGATGAATAAAAACAAAGCAATCAGCACACTCTGACCTTGAGTATTATGTTCACATCGACAGACCAGTCTGTTCTCACCATCCACGCTCGACGATCGAACACATTCCGAGGCATGTCCATTACATTTACATCTGTAATTATAGTAATCTAAAGCTGAGCTTTGCGCCGCTGAATTTTAGCTAACCTTCCACCAACAGCAAAGTCAGAGATTGCATAGAAGTAACTTCGTAGCACTTGTGGATCACCAAATACTTCATCTCCGAAAGTGTTCATTCGATTCAGGACAATTTTGATGGCCGAAGCAGTTACCCATTGCTAAAATTGAGTCATGATGTAAAATCCAAGTACAGGATCAAGGCTCAACAATGGTGCACTCGGAGTCCTGCACTACCACGGTCACATCTGTTTGCTCCGCCCCTAGCCCCGCCCCATTTAAGTTGCGAACTTTACTCAATTCGTAAAGTCAGGCTGAACCAAGAATTTTGTCGCTTCATTTTTGAAAAATTCATAACTGCTAACTGTGTGAACGTATTTGCTTACAGAAAACTTCACCAGAAAGAAAACTTCATCTATTTTCCACTTATATCTTCGCAGCTCTGCAACGACAAGGGTGATTTGAATAGCAAAACTACTCAAACTCTCGATTTTCAAAAATAACTGTCAAAAAACTGGAATGCTGTAAAATTTGAGAACATGTTTCTTACAGTCTACTTAGCTGACAAGCTCTAACAGTGATAAGATTGTGCTGATCGAGCTTCTGTGAAAAGATATGATTTTCGAGGAAAAGGGAAAATGCAAGAAAAGGTTTTGCCGCTATTTTGCATTTTCCTTGAAAATCATGATTTTCCATAGAAAAGCTTGATCGGCGCAATCTTGTCACTGTTAGAAAAAGCAGAATACGTGGACTCTGAAATTTAGAAACGTAGATTGTTTCAGCCAAGTACGGAACATGTTTTCTACCTTTAGCGTTAGATTTTTGAAAATTTATTTTCGAAATCGAGAGTTCGAGTAGTTTCTTTCTAATGAATTTTTTTTGTAAGCAAATAGTTCACACAGGAAGCAGTCATGACTTTTCCAAAAACAAAGCGATAGATCTTTTGGTTCAGCCTAATATCATCGCATTCCTCAAAAAAAAGCAAATACAATCTACATACCTGCAACACCTCACTGTCCTCAAAAGCATGGGCCGACGGCCTACCCTCAAGTGTTGAAAACGCGATATTTCCACCAGTTATGGGCGAAATATCAGAAAATTCCTGAACAATAATTTTTTTCATTGAAAAAAGGTTTAGAGAAAAAACTCATGCAGCAGACCTTAGTACATTGAGCAACAGCTTCATTACCAGGAAGAATAGGAGCCTTGTCCGGAAGGCCGTAGGTAGCGCGACAGGAACCGCTAAATAAAGATGTTAAGGAATATAGAATTTAAGAAAAAGTTGCTAACTTACGAATAGTATTGCCACGGTACCCATTCATCATCTAATGATGTTTTCTTATATATAGCAAAGGATTCCGGTCGAGGTGATATAAATTTTAGCCGGACATAAGTAATATCAAAGGTTTTACCTGAAACATTGCATATATTTTTACAGGCAAAAAGAAGGCGGGTTTGCGCGCCGTTTGCGGCATGCTTATCCTCGTACCAAGAGTGAGTGTTAGATTAACGCTATTAGGATACTGCATATCCTCATTCATAGTCTCTGACTGCCACCACGTTTCATTATTAGCATTATTAAAATCTGTTAGATATCGCGCTGGATGCTCGAAGGCCTGAAAACAATTTTTTTTGGAAGATTCTGACATTTTCTGTAACCTAAAAGAGACTTACCGGATGCCTTGCATCGCAAGTGTCACAGACACTCCGCGCAGCTGAATGACCCGACTGAACGCAAAATCTGGAAAATTCTCGTAAAAAAAATTCCTAACAGGCTGAAGCAGCAACACTCACTTTGTCGGATGTTTGACACCGCATGTGTTCGTCACCTCAACTTCGAGGTTAAACGCAGCATTGATAAAGTCGGGCACACATCGCTGCGGTGCTAACGTTTCGCGATCATAACATGGATTACCATCTGAGAAAAGAATAAATCGCTTTATGATAAAAAAAAGAACAATATCGATACGCTAGAAGCCCAGCGCCTGAGCTACCACGTCATTTCTGCATTCTTTACGTCTTTGCGATCGCATTGTACTTCAATCGCCTGACTCAGCTCGTAGAAATTCGCCAGCAAAGCATACTCGCGCATTTTTATTGTATAACGATCACAGAAGAAAATAGTAATTTGAAGTTGCCGCTGCAATACGACTGAGCTTCGATCTTAATCGCTGGAATTAGTACTCAAGGAACAGCCCCTGACCCCCCTAGGAAAAACGGCCATTAGTTTGCTTGATTGCATTTTATCGCAACAAAAAAAAATGATTGATGGTGTCAAACGCACTCCGCCTCTAGCTTGCAATACTAACAATTGCTCCTATTACAACTTTTTGAGTCGATGACAGACACCTGATTCATAGAAAGCAATAGTCATACGCGAAACTATTCACAATAGTGGTTTGTTCCATTGATTAAGGTCAATAATGATCACTGAAGAAAATAGAAGAAAAGCATTGTCTCGGACCTGCTGTTATGAGAATAGCCAAAAATAGGTCTTACAATTAGAGTTGAAGTATACGAGCGAATCTAAGTGGAAAATGCAAAAAAAACTAAGCAGAAATCAAGGAGTTATCGTTACCTTATGGTCGTATTTTTGTTGATGCAAACAAATATAAGACGCATTTATAAGTAGGTAATTTTTAACATAGATGATCTACGCCGAAAAAAAAACTCAAAATGCATTACAGAAATTTTCTATTAGGTGGAACCGAAATCAATGTCGCTTTGTGAAAAGTTGTAACTGCTCTCTATGTGAGCGTATTTGCTACAAGAAATATTTTTGAAAGAAAATTCACCTAGTGTCCAAAAACATTTTTGCGGCTCTTCGACAACAAAGCACTACAGAGATAATTAGACGAGGAATGCGACTTGAAGTCCCGATTTTGAATAAATCGTCAAAAATGTGAAACGCTACCGAAAAATCTGAGATCATGTATTTCAGAGATTTTGTAAGCTGCTCTTTCTAATAACTTGTGCCGATCGAACTTTTCTATAGAAAAATGATTTTCGTGAAAAATGCAAGGAACAACGAAAATGGCGTTTTCCCATTTTTCTGCATTTTTCACAAAAAATCTTAACTTTTCAACGAAAAGCCCAATCGGCACAAACTTGCCACCTTAGAAATAGCTGCTCACAAAATCTCTGAAAAACATGCTCTCAGATTATTCTGCAGCATTTCAGACTTTTGACGATTTATTTTCTCAAATCAGAAGTCAGATGGTTCGCATGCTGGCATATTTATCTCTGGAGTGCCTTCTCCTCAAAAAGCCGCAAAACTGTCATTGGAAAGTAAATGAAATTTTCTAACCGGAAATGTTTTCTCTAAGTAAATGCGTTCACAAAGGGAGCAATTACGAATTTTTTGAAATTATAATCACTATAGAGATCGGGCAAATTCAGCACATGATTTACTCAAGCTTTTATTTTTCAGCGTGCAACATCTGTAGCAGACATTCCAAGAAAAACACTCGTAAACGGGAGAACTGCCAAAAATCTCAAGCTGTTTTCCGAAATACACAAATCGCTCGCTGTAGTTAATACGTTTGACAGGTGGTGTATGATGGATGGGATGAGGTGTCTCACGCAAAAAAGTTGCGAGCTTCGTCGTAATCATAGAGCTCAGTACTATTAGTTTTCCAAACGTACACAACGGTTCTGAATCATTTACGAATCTTTTCTAGTCTTTGGAAAATATTGAACGATTTTACAAAAGCATGTAAGCCTACATGCGGTCAACTGAAAAATAATTGCTTCTCACTTCGTTCACATTGATAAGTTTTGCAAACAGATTGCGCTGAATTTGTTTGAGCAGAAGATTAAGAATGTTTCTCGCGACAATGCAAGGATAAAGTACAACTATGCAAATCAACTATTTCCACCACCTTGCATGCGTCTTTGAATGGTAAAAAACACAGACTCAAAGCTCTATCAAACTAAAAAACGCCAAAGCCAAAGACGAGGAATATCTTACCAGCACCGAAGTGATTTGGATCGACCGTTGGGATTAGTTGTGCTGGTTGCGTCCAACCGTAACGCAGTAATATAAATGAGGAAATTACAGAAAGCCACATTATTATACAAAGATCATTCGGGCAGTGTCGAAGCTATGAGATCTGCAAGAGGAATTGTAGTCAACTGATCAAAGAACGAACGAAATCTCCAGGGAGAGGAAAAGTTGATCTGAATCGAATCTCGCACGAAGTTTACACAAATATCAAGAAAATATTGTGAATTGTAACTGAATAATAAATATGTTCAAGATTTTCACGAAATAAAGACAGGTAACGACTTGCCATTATTAACCTTGCATTAAAAAATACATGTTAGCTCAAAACCAGTTAGAAATGACTAACACCACCATGATACTTTTTAATACTTTTTGGGCGAATTAGCAAAATAATCCCTCATTTTCTAGTCTATAGCAAACTACAAGTGACCAAATGTTCACAAAAAAATCAATTTTTTCGAAACGATTGCATTTTCTAAAGGAGAAGGCACTAGCAAGAGGTGTTTTTTAAAAAATAAGTTTTTTTTATGTAAAAACATACTCAGAGGCAGAAAGTATGACAAAAGAGTGAGAATACTGAAGGATTGTAACACCACAAATATAGTGCAGAAGGTACCAAGGTTCAAAAAAAGTTGGATCTGGAAATAAGAGAATGGGCATAGTGGCAAACGATGCCGTGAAGATCTCATTTGTTTATCTATAAATAATTTCAGCACTATGAAAAAACATATGGGAGAGAACAGCGGCCAGCATGCCTTGGAAGGTTGTCAGAGGGTGTGAAGTGGAAGTGTGAACCGAGTTAGGATGAAGATCTGTTGACTTGTCGACATATGTCACAACATACGCCGGAGGAAATGACTCAGCAGTGGGTATCCAAGAGGCCATAGGACAGCGGATCTAGCCATCCACGAAACCAGGACGAAAGATCGAAGAGCCACTAGGTGCTGGGGGTTATTGACAAAACATGGAGATCACCAATACTCACACCTACCGACACAGGAGGTGCGGTCAACAACAGCTGGTATCGGAACCGGTGCGACGGCAAACTGGTAGGCAAAATTTGTGCAAGTAGAGATGGCAGCTTTCTTAGAGCTAGCCAAGAAAGCAAGGGTTAATTTATGCAAATATCCACGCAAAACTGGTTAAATAACATCAACATTACGATTTCCCACAGGGCTACGAACGTTGTTGTAAGAATGGCAAAAAAGGTATTGACAAGGAACACAGCACGAAAGTTTAACGAAGAGGTATGCGGAGATAGCATGGAAGCTAGTAGGTTGTAGATGTCAACCTGAGAAGAGTGTGGATAAGATAAGCAAAAGATGTAAGGACAGAAACAGGTCATATATCAAAGGCTCCCGCCTGCACAGATGAACTGGCATTTGGAAATAGAGGAAGGGGCGGTCGGGCAGGAGGCAGCAAAGGCTCGCCGCTTCTGCTTATGGAAGTACCTGAGGAACTTCAGACTTCCTCGCGCCTCTAATTACTTCTTCGCACTTCTAATTATAGATGACCTATGTCAAACTGATCGTTGATTTCTCAAAGCGTGGCAAGTTTTGAGATAGCTTTTATGTTTTAAATTCGTAGCAAGTAAGATAGATAACAAGTTCAAAAAAGACTCATAGATAGCCATTCAACGTCAAATGATTTTAAAGTATGAATTGGTCTATTCAATCTTCAGACCAGAATCTCAAGCATGAACATGTAAATCTTTCTCAGTTATTCCGATCGAAGACAAGAACCTTGAAGAATTATTGCACTCGTCCTTTATTCTGCATCAGAATCAGTTCCTTCTGTTGCGAATTTTGGAGTAAAATTTCCTGAACCCAATATCCAAATAAGTGAAATCGATTATAGCTGAGATTGAAAGAAATTTCGAGCATCTCAAATTGATCCGGGGTAAGATACTCTCCAGAAAGATTTTCGTTCAATTCTTCAACTTGTAAAGTATCAGAGGTGTGAAAAATGATTAGAGGCGCGAGGAATCTGGAGCCCCCCAAGCGCTTCCAGAGGCAAATGCGGTAAGCCTTTGCTGCCTCCTGCATGACGTCCGAGGAAGGTACAGTTGGAACAATGGCATTTTGATATAATCTATCAAAGTTTTGGACGGTGTATCAGATCAGGCGAAAATGTCAAAGAAATAAAAATCGAAATTAGTCAGAAGTTTTGGTTTCGGCAAGGAAATTTTTTGAAAGGATTCGAAACACAGCATTACATGGCTTTGTCCGCAAGATGAAACACCGAGCACTTGACATCAACGTACAAAAAACGGTAGAAAAAATGGAGAGGTCGGCTCGCGATGAAAAAAGCATTTTGTCGTGCAATTAGGGCAACAAAATAGAATAGATTAACGAAAAGATCTGCTGCCGTAACGATCGAACTGCACTGGACATAGGTCTCGATGATGACGATGATGATGATGATGATAAGACCATTGATCAATATTGGCTCTGGCATGCTAAGGAACAGCGTAAAAGTCAACAGAGCACTTAGAAGGTGCTCTTAGGCACGAATATGAGGCAGGGACGAGGGCAAACACTGGAATGACCCACATTAGTGGTGGCAACGAGCGGTTGCGCGTGCTAAAGATGGACCCGGGCGAGCGGCGGGGCGCCTGTGGTGCTCGTGGGCACGGACTCGGATCGTGCCGGATCGGGCTGCTGCTGGAGCAGCGCACGTGCTCGTCGACGACGACGTACTGCTCAATGAAGCCGTCGACACTGCGCAAAAACAGTGCAGCTGCAGTCGTTCTTACAGAACGCAGCGGAATTTAGTGAGCTACGTGCCGCTGGAAAAACTCGGCACATCTGTGTGAATTGAAAGAGCTGTGGAGGTAGCACGACACACTCGGGCATTCATACGATGACGACTATAAACAATCGCAGCAGATGAGCAGCACATGAGGGGCAGGGGGGCCTTTATCTATCGAGTGAAGATTGTATACGCGGCCGTGGACATCCCTTAGGATCTCGAGCACAGCTCATAAAGTCGTCAGGTGAATCACAACTGAGCCAATCATTGGCGCCATCGCATTTGTGGCTCGTAATGTGCAACACGAGCGAACGGCGCTAAACATCGCAAGGGATTTCCCACGAGAATTTACTGTAAACCTGCTCCGCTACGGTCTTTTTCAGTATTGTGTTCTAAAAAGCAAATATGCAGCGAAAAATGCCAGTGAATCCATAGGCACGTTCTTTTTTGTCATCATCCCCTTAACGTATTCTGTACTCACAGCAGCAATAAATGTGTATGCAATTTTTGGATAATCCGTATAGAGTATTCCCACTTAGGAGCCTAAAAACATGTGTGCGCTGTATAGAGATATTATGGATGACCTTCTCAACAATCGAAGGCAACCGCAGTCGACCGAAAAGATAACGAACGAATATACGCGCTAGACGAAGAGATGTCAGAGAAGTTGACAGATAACAGAATTGCGAATACAATAAGTGAGTACGATAGCATGTTGGACGGCGGCCAGAAGTGACGCCTCGGATGAGATGAGGTCATAAATCGAGAGGCCCCGAACTATGCAACGCCGACTGGAACGTGGCCAGGGCTGCTGGTGCAAAGAAGCCACAATCAACGTGTGCTGACTAAGGTGCGACGGAATGGCACACAGAGACCAGGTGTGGGGCACGGGGTGGGGGAAGTCTGGCTGCTTGGAGTGGACGCCGGCTGCGTGAGGGTCACTTCGGGTGGTCTCCAGCGGGTGCTCGGGCGCCCCCCTACGGCACATTTCGGCACAAGCACACGTCTGGCGGCTTTTCCACTAGTGGAACTGCGTTTGCACTGTGATGAGCCGCGTAACCTGACCCGCGGGGTCATTTGCTAGTGGAGGAGGCGCTCGGGTCATAAAGGGGAAATCGCGGTGCGCCGTCGTCTATCTCAGCCAGCCTGCTCTCCTCCACTCGCCAACTGTTACAACATGAGGCGTCGAGGGAAAAGGGAGATGAGCAGGAGTCCGAGCAGCGAAAAAAAAACGCATGTGGCGAAGAGTTCTGGAAGACTACCGCCTAACTAATGCCACTCTCTCGATCGACGGCGATTGATTGCGTGCACTTTGTGACGGAGTCCGCTGAGTCACTCGCGCACAACTACGGCGCTGCACTCGGACACTTTATGCTTGCGTAAGTTGACTCTGGATCTTGGCCAGCTACAGCACACCCGCAGCGTCCCGAGATCTCTAACTGCGCTCCTTGCAAGGCGGAGATGTTAAAAATTCAACTCTTTCTAGCGGTATTCCATTTCTAAAAGGGATGATCAGTTCATCTGATCTGCGTACATCATCCCAAATAGACTGTGTTAATAGCAGACCGGATTGCGGGATCAAAAAATAATGGCTGTGGTACGGTAGTGTCTTGTTTTTTAATTACATAAAAAGTTAACTTTGAGGATGTTGATAAATATACATTCGTAAGGATCCGCAACAGCTCGACGTCTGATAAAATAATAGAAAATGCCAGAATACCCCTCCACCCTCTCCGCCTTGTGAGTGAAATTCTTGTCAATAACATGCATTCTCTAGATACTTTTCAAAGAAAAAAAAAGAAAAACTGAGAAAATTGCGAACACCTAACGTAATGATGATGAGGAGCCGCTGTAGTAGTCACCGCGAGAGTGATTGGATAGCGTCGGAGATCGCGCGCCGAGGACAAGAGGGAAAGTTCGAATCAGGAAATGTTCTACGAACAACTGATAATTTTTCGTAATATCTCACTTGGATTAGCACCAGATATGATCGTACTGCCAATGACATGGCTTGAAGGATGTGGGAAGTTTGAATTTTCACGGAGGCTGTGTGCTTCAAAATAAATTTCGAAAAAAGCGGAAAATTTCTAAACTGATTAACTGTCTTTGGATTTGGTCACATAGATTTTAGTGGTATAGTACTAGTGCTCATGAAAATCTTATATTGATGGGAAACCGTGTGTTATCTTTAGTCACCATAAAAAAGCGTTCGAGGACAGTTTATGCACTTGCACTTTGCTGATTGTTGCAGGACAGTGTTTGTTTTACACTTAATGGAGTTACAGCGACTGTGGAATCCGTATAAACAACAGGGGGATAGAGTCGACTTAGAAGATGAGCTAGAGTTAAATCCCAATATGTCATCGAGTTATACCGCTCAGCGCAGCTGGTGTCGTGGATCTCGACAATCAGGTGCCGTTCGGTGCCCTCCTATACGACGCCTCTTGTCGACTGGTGTAACTCGCGCTAACCTAGGATGGATTTGAAGTCTTTGAT